TGGCACACACAATGCATCCTTCGACTTGGGCTGCAAATGCATTTTGCATAATTTGTTTGTGCGCTGAGGCGTGCGCAGGCTTCAACATCGTCATTGTCCCTAGTCCCTGTCCCCTTCCAAGTCCATGTCATCGTCAGTCGAGTATAGAGCCCACTCCTTCATCGCCGTTTGGAGCTTGTCATATCAATCTCTGGGCTCAACCCATTTGCCGACTGTCAACACGGGGCGGGGGTTGAAATCGAGGGTTTGTAGGTGATACAGGATCCCCTCTGTGTCTCTGTGTGTGTGTGGCAAACATCAACCCTCTCTTGCCACACACACTTACACTCTCACTTTAATTTATGTGCCACGACCCTCCGTGGCCCAAACAATGTCACTTGGCTTTTGTAAGCTCACGTGTTACATGCAAATGCGCTTCCTGACTCCTTTGGCTCCTTTGTCTTCTGCTTTTGTTAAGGTAGGATGGGTTAGGGAGAGGGGAAGGGGTTAAGTGTGGGCAAATATTGTAATGATGTATGTGATTCCCTTTCCAACCCCTTCTATCATCGCTTTATTGAAATCGCTTCTTATCCGCAGCCAACTCCTCTTCGAGCACTCACTTCGGGCAACCACTTGAAGAAATTTTTGTGTGGAAAAAATGCAACATTTTCGCAAACATCTCGCTTAATGAAGTAACAACATGCTTGAGTTAAAAAAAAAGTACATGAAAAAAGTCATTAAAAAATGCTAAATGCAAGTGCCAGCTGGGCAAAAATCAATATACAATCAACACACAGGGACACACGGGAGGAATAAAAAATGGAAAATGAAAATATGCCCGCCGCAGGCCTCAAGGCTGCAATTATCGTGAATGACGTTGTTGGCCATGTTGTCAAAGGAATTGCAGCAGAAATATGGGGAAAAAAATGAAAAGAAGAAGAAATTCTGCAGATGAAATTGAAAAACATGTAAAATGCGTTGACGATTGCGTTTTTCAAGTGCAGCCGAGAGTTGACGTCGCCGTGGCCGTATTTCAACTCACATGAGTTCGCGCACGGCCAGCTGTATACCAATTAAAAATGCAGTGGACAACGCCCAAAAAAGTATGCTGCAAGAAGGGGTGTTGGGTGTTTGGGGGGCGGGAGTTGGGTGGTGTTGGGTGTTGGGTGTTGGGGCTGCTGGAAAAAGCACTCACCATGTGGCGGCTGCTGTCAATGACAGCGCAAATAAAATGCAACAAAGCGTGTTGTAAAACGCGCAAAAATGAAAATCAATAGTGAAGCCTCCCGCCGCATATATATACATATGCATGTTCGCACATACATATGTTGGCCCCACATATACATATATACATACTATATAACGCACAATTCATATGATGCACCCTGGGCGAGAAAACTCCGAATAAAAAGCTTCACTTTGGGGAATATTATTTTTTTTTTTGGCAGAAAATATTGTCAAAAGGTTTCAAAATGTTGGGTAATCATATTAAATATCTTCCTGAACGATACAATTATTTTTTATATTCATAAAATGTCAGATAATGCTGTCCTGAACATTAATACTGGTTCAGAAACCTACCTTACATCATGTTTTTGGGATAAACCATATTAAAGAGGCCTAGAAAGGCTTCGAATACCCGTTTAATTTTCTTTTAAATATTTTATATTCATTTAGTTTTCCCTTAAAGCCTTAAATCTCCTAATAAACTATCCTCATGGCTTTCAGAAATTCCAGATTTTTCGGCCCATTTGCACTGTGCAGCATTGCAGTTGGTTTCGGGACTTGGTCAGCTGCTGCTTCTGCCCTGTTTTACATAGGCTTGGGCGTTTGTCATAGCAACAACAATAATCAGAGAGCGACATCGGGGGAGGTGTAGCAACAACATAAACACGGGAAACGGAAACGGACAAGAGGAGGCGGCTGGAGGGGTACAAGGGATAATGGTGGGGTTTAAGGTGCGGGGCGTCGGCCATTCCCGGTCCTTGTTGACGTCAGTCATAGAGCGTGCAAATGTTGACCTACATACAAAACGTTGAGCAAACAGGCGCATAAATGCCACGTTAAACAACGGCAACAGCAGCAGCAACAGCAACATCAGCAGCATCGCCGCGCAGTGCAGATAAGTTTGCCTTTTTGCCCAGCTGCCAACGCATTGTTAGAAATTGTCGGAGGACATGGCCAGCCGGCATAGTTAATAGCCCATAGACATAGTCACCGACATGGCCATACCCATAGCCAAAGCAATAGTTTTGCATAGATGCACTGGCAAAATCGAGAAAATGACAGGGGGAAATATTTAAAGAATTTGATGGCCTCTAACACTAACATATTTAATATTTAATTTACTGTTATAGTCAATTGGAACATACGAAAAATCCAAAATATTAAATCATTTTATATTTTGAGCCAAAATGTAATGAATTATTTACGTATCTTTCAAGTTCCTGATAATTCTGGTAATATTTAACTACAGAAACATCTATTTAGTCCTTCTTTAATCTCTATTATATCAACGTACATTTTTCTGGAATTTACTAGTCACTGGCTTCTATTTGTTTTCCGTGTCCTGCTGTCCTTGTTATTGTTTTTAATACTTACCAGCATCATAATTGTTATGTAGATTTATAGAATTGGGTTGACTGGCCAACGGTGACCAGTCCCCAGCATCGGATATGAACCAGCCCCATTTGAATGCATCCAAACAATGCCTCTCTACCCCCCCATTGTGAGCCAAGAAACGAATGACCAACTGAACTGAATAGACTAGAAGTTTATAGGATGAGACTCGGAAGAAGTGTCTCTCTTTTCGAAATTTACAGCCCCGCCGGGAAGTTTCCGCTTTTTGGCACGATGCATGTAACATACACAGGGAGTGGACCAAAGTGCCACGGCAGCTGGTGCGCCTACCTGGCCAGCGACTACTCCACCATGGCCAGGCCTAATGATGACAGAGTGGGGCGAGTGGTCTCTGAACAGTGGCCATAACGGTTGACGCTTCCCTGGTGTTGTTTTTGCTCCCTGTTACTGCTGCTGCCTCTTGCTCCTGTTAAGGCTCCTCCTCCCGTGTGTAGACACGCATTGGCAGTCAGTCAGTTAGTCAGTTTGTCAGTTAGTCACTTTGTCATTCAGCCAACCAGGCAACCAACAAACAAACAAGCTCTCGCTGCTTGAGCCAAAGAGTGTAGCCGATGTTGCCGGGCAGGAGGCGATGAAGTGAAGACTTTCGTGAAGGATCGAAGCTGTAAATACTCTTTTGTTGTTTTATTAAACATTAAATATTTTAAATGCTGCCTAATACATTAATATAAACTTGAAAATTCTCTAAAAAATTATACACCCAAGACATGATAAGCCCTCAAATCTCAAGGACTCTACCCTTTGAAAGGGTAAAAACCAGGTTTGTTAACAAACACAGATACACAAAACGCACACCGGGACAAAACTCAATGAGTCAATGACTTTTTGGTGTCGCTCGTTGATGCGCAACGCGGTCCCGTTGTCATTAGCAGCGACACCAGCACCAGCCCCAGCACCGCCTCTGCCTCTGCCAACAAGGACGACAAGGACACCGTCACGCTCACAAATGCAAGTCACAATCACTCACACACACTCACAGTGCGAGCCACTCATGAATATGGTTACAGTTGCCTTGTTTTTTGTGTTGCGAGTATTTGGCGTTGGCTGATTCGTTGTCGTTGCTGCTGTGGGAAATGCGAGCGGGTCCAAAATATGTATGTACATTTTTGGCAGCCAAACAAACACGGTTTTTGGCTTATGTTTTATTGTTGTTGCCTTTGTTGCGGCTGCGGCTGCTGCTGCGGCTTTTGATGCCGTTGTTGCGGCCGCTGTCCTTGGCGCTGCTGCCTAATGTGTGCCAACACCATCATCACCAGGCAGTAACAGCCGGGCACCACCACCCCTTTGGAGCTTTTTACGCATTCACGCGTCCTAAAAACAAGAAATTGGCCAACGACAAATGTCCCCCCAAAAAAAATGTATGCACTGTAAGGAAAATTGAGTTTTAAAATAATATTATTTCGATTAAAATAACTTGAAATTGGTATTTATATAGTAAAAATAAGTAAAAAGCTAAATTTGCCTAATTAAAATTAAAAATATTTGAAATATGCTACAAAGCTTTTGAAAATTCTTAATATATTAAACAAAAATCTTAATAAATTATTTTTATATATAACAAAGCTGTAAGAACAATATTTTTTGTTTTTCTTAGTGACATCAATTTGAAACCGCGCATTATTAGGCTAAATATTATGAATCTTGGCAGCTTCCACACTGCCCTATTGTTGTGGCTCTTCTTTTTTCCCTGGAAACGAGTATTTGCCCCGCCTTGTTGGCCATAATTTCCCCTGATGCTCATTAGCGGGGATGGCCCAAAAAAAAATATATATAAATAAAAGTAGACAACATTTATGCGACGACAGGAAGGGACTTAAGTGTGAAATTGCTTTGCATAATGCCAAGTAAATTATGCGGGCAAATATTGGAGTCCATTAACTGGGTTGCCAGAAAGCGAATGCTGCCGAATGCCTGCAAATTAATGAGTTATTTTGAAGAGCCACCATCTCAAGATGCTTGATTAATTGAAAGTAAATGAGATTGTTGACTCACTCCAGGCCCGATGAGGGAGACATCAACAAGGCAGAGTTCATGATGCCTACCTAATCTATGCCAACGAAGATGGAGCTGGCCGAATAATTGAAACATTGAGCCAGGCACTCACGCATGTGGCTAAGCCACCACCCAGGCCCCAGTGACACCCAGTTTTATGGCCATCCGCCCAACTGGCCCGGTCCAGTGTAAACACAGCTGTTCGAGGGAATCGTGCTCACAGGCCTCGTGCCTAACCACAGACAACAAACGCAGCCGTGCGGCGCAGGCGCAGAGAGCATCGCATCCCATCGCGAACGGGGCTGCCAACTGCACCGCTAAAACCATGACTTTGGAGGCATCCGCTCCCGAGCCGGGTCCGGCAGTTGCTGTTCGAGGCTCGAAGGATACGCACGGCTCTGGCGGACGACGGAAATTGGACTGAAAATGCATCGCGTTTGAATCGAAGTGAGTGCGCGCGTGTGGTGAATTTCCGGCGGTGAAGAGAGTCCGGAAGAGAGCCGACGAGGGTCCGACGGTGTCCCTAGAAGAGCTCCTCCAAACACAGTTCGGTGCGAGGCGCAGTCAAGTCGAGTCCTTGCTGACAGTCGGTTGTCCTGGCGGGAGTGCATTCATATATCGAGCGTGTGGCACAGTGCGCCGGCCATGCAGTCCCTCAAAACATAACAAAACACCATAAAATCATCACCGAAAATCACCCAATCACCAGAGTGAAAAAATCAAAATAGAAAAAGAAAAGAAAGATTCAAATGTGCCAAAGAAAAATTATAAAATACAAAAAAAGAGAGAAATATCAAGTGTCTGAAATGTAAAACCGCTCAAGAGTGAAAGCCAAATTAAATCAAAATTTTTTACAAGTCACTGCCCATACACGCATATTCCTGAAAAAAAAGCTCACAGCGAGAGAAGAAAAACGCATAAGTAATACCACGACCAAATTCAAATCAAAATCGGAATCAAAACAGAAGCCGGAAAACATGTGGATTAGTAGCCGCCTTTTCGTGATTTTCCTGCTCCTTCATATCGGTAGGTGCTCCACAGTTCGCCGGGAAAACTCTTAAGCCGGCCTGCCGGCATTTTGGGGCGCTTCTTCTCGGGTTTTCCTAAGACGCTCGCTCGGCACGCGCCTCGAAGTGTGCTTTTGTTTTCGCACACCGGCTGTGCGTGTGTTTCCTGTGCCCTAAGTCCCAACAGCTGTCGGCATGTTGTTGTTTTTTTTATCGGCATCCCGGCTTACGCCTCCGAAACGGAACTTATTATTAAGTCTTGCGGAGTAAAACAAAAGGATTTGGGGATTTTGCGGCATATCCCAGCCGGCTTATAGGGGGCTTCCTCTTCTCTGTCCTATGCTGACGCGTCCAGGAATTATCGTCAGGCAGGGCAATTACTCACTTTATTATCATTCAAAGCGATATTCCGAACTGGCGCAGCTCATGGTGATTCATACGAGGAGGTGGCATAATTTATGATATACGAGAACTAAGTGCAAATAACTTGGTCGCTTTACGGAGACCAAAGCCGAGACCGGAGACCATAAAACTGCCGGCAAAACTAAGGCCAAAATGCCCCTTCATAATATGAAATTGCCTTATGATAAAAACCAGGCGTCAATTTATGCCACAAGAAACGACTAACCCCAGCTCGTCTATAAATATATGTGCACTGAGAGAAAGGAATTGATATTTAGAGCCTAAGAAAAAGTGGGCTTATAAAAGACTTTTCCTTAAGAAAAAATATCTTTTAACTTTTGAAAATACTTTAAAAATGTTGATTTATTTGAATTTTTGAACAAAAAACTTGATAAACGTATTTTTATATAGCTAGGTCTACCTTTTAATAATGAATTATTTTTTAAAAATTGTATTTAAAGTTATAAAAAGATGAGAAAGTGCTCTCAGCAAGACTTTTTTCCATACAATTCTATTTTTTTTAACTTTTAAAAGAAGGGTTTTTAGTTGAAATTTATTACGTTAAGTAAACATATTATTTTGGTTTGTAATTTTGCAGTTAAGTTTGTGATTTTACCCTATTTTTATTTTTTTGTTTACATATACTTTAAGTCCATAAATAATTTTTGTAATTTTTGTTTTTCGTTCTCTTACATTTTTTTCTGTCAGTGCAATTGATTGTATGTGTGTGCGGGACAGCCTAATGAAATGTGTCAGGAGCAGAGCCTTCGCCCTCGCCCTCGCCCTCGTACTAACACTCGATCGCCCTCACCGACCTTTTCATATTTACAGAGCCTGGTTGTGAGAGGAGAACCTTTTTTTGGAAATTTGATATTTTCCAATTTTCATTGCCCGGCTCTGGCATTCGATGGGAGACTGGCTTACATGTCTATTCGCCAGCCGAAAAAAATATGAAAAAATATTATCAAAATGCCACACAGATATTTCATGATTGCCACACCACCACAACCGTATATATATTTTCGCACCCTCGCACCGAGGCTCCGAGACTCGGAGCAAATGAAAAATATGCAAATGAAATTGTTGCTCAATGTCTAAAGCGCACACACACTTTTTGCTCTGTGGCTCTGGGCTGTGAGAGATGGCTCATATTTTTCGGTGTTGTTATTCCATTTCCAAGCAGATAAACATAAAATATAATACGTTATATAAAATCAGCACAGCAACAACAACTACGCGGCAAATCCGATTAGATTGTGGAGTTGGGTGGAAAAAAAAGGGTCCCAGGATTTTCTGATGGGAAAATTATGAAAAATTATGGCCAACGGCAAAGTTTGCAGCACACTATGATTGATTATGTTTTAAACCGTTTGTGACAAACGCTTTAATTTGTTGTAGGATTAATGAAGTGCAAGGGATAAAGTTTAAATTAAATGCTCACCAGATGTCGAAGGAAACTTCCCAAAGAAACGTTAATTTCTGTAATTCTGACAGTGAAAAATTATTAATGACTTAACCTAGTAAAAGTTTCTTATACTTTGTTCACACGATTTTATAAAATATGAAAGTACTGACGAATCTTGAAAAAGGCTCTTATTAATTTAGAAATCAGTGTAGTATAGTTTTAGTTTTTATTTTGGCAAAGAATTGCATTTTTAATAAGTTTTCACACAGTATATTAGTGCATTTTTTCCAAATTAAATACCTAATGTTCAATATTTAGCATATTATATTTATTTTGTAATCAAAACTCTAGGATTTTCAATTTAGAGTGCTCATAAAACAGACTCTCGCAATATTAAAATCAGGAAAATACTTTCTTCTATCGACTTTGTTAAATTTCGTCTTGGATTTGTTTGGATTTCTCAAAATTCTCTCGCTACTTTGCAACGTATTCCTTTTTCATTTCTTATTTCTTATTTTGCAAAACAATTTCGCCCAACAAAAGATTTTGAACGTCTTATTGGACCCCCATTCCACCCAAATGCTGTGTGCACTTTGGGCCAACTGGAGCACATCTTACTGAGATGGTACGGGTCTCCGGCGAAGGCAGCAACAAAATCAAGTTATTTACAATTATTATTCCTTTCGTGGTTGTTGCTGCGCGTTGGTCTGTAAACGTTTTAACTTCTTTCAAGTTTTCCTTTTATTTTTGTTTTTATTTTTTCTGTTGCTGTTGGTGGCCAGGCAATATTGAGTCGATATCTTTGGGTGTTTTGGGTCACGCCTTCCTGCCGCTGGTTTTTGCGCATAAAAATTGAATTTCCTGTATTTTTCGAGCTGATTGCTTACAAGATTCGGCCCACCATTTCCGGTCGATGGCAAAACATCCTTGGCAGGATCTTCTGCGGTCTTAAAGTCCCTTTTTTGTCTGGGATAACTTTAATGGTTGAGTTTTGGCTGGGTCTTGGATCGTGGGCCATTAGAAATATTACCACTGCATTGCCAGCTGAATTTAGAGACACTGCAGCCACACAACATGCATCACCAAGGCCCAAATGCACTGAAAAAAATTATTATTTTGGGGGGGAAAAATTGTGAATTTAAGAAGCTAACTCCAAGGTAAATTTTAAAATTTTATAATATTAGCAGCGGTTTCTGTATAGAAGGTAAATTAAAATATATTTGAACTAAACATTTTCTTGGATTTATATATAGAAATTGCATATGGTTCAATTCGCTCAGATTTTTCCTTGAATTTATTTCCTATATTTTCTAAGGTTAAATTATAATATGTTACAGTTTAACCCTTTTTTGTTCTCTTTTTTTCAATGTGGGGTGGCTACAAAATAATTTCGAAAAGTGCCAAAAGGGCATAATCCAAGCTGGGAAAAAAAAAATTCAAAGAGGAGTAAAAAAAATATAAAGCGGGGAGAAATAAAGAACACACACTGAAATAATGTCTGAGGAGCCTGGCAAAGTAACCCCTCAAGACTCGCACAAGTGGATGGGAAACACATTCGGAGTGAAAGAAGTGAAATGTACGACACAAAACGAGCGGAAATGCGAGCCAAAGTATAGAGGGGTGCAGGGACAAGGCAGGATCCTGGATGGGAAGGTCCTGCGGCTGTTGCAGTTGCACTTGCACACACAGGGAGTTTGCTGCAGGTAATGCAGCAAAACCGGAGCTGGGAAAACAATTTGGAAAAGAAATTTGCGGCAAATGGAGACAGTTCAAATGCGCTTTTGCATTTGGCCAAAGAATGTTGTCAGAATTGATTGGGAAATACTCAATTGTTTCGAAGTAAAGGTGTTGGAAATACTGTGGTAATGCAAATTGAGGTAAATAAATTGACATATTGTAATTTTATATTGGGAAAACTGTGACCTTAAATGGGTTACTAAAGGTTTTCATTCAGGTTATAGAATATAAATGAAGCGTCTGTTGATTTTTGTTTAAAAATAATTAATCATTCCTTGTCAAGTAGTTATCTCATTTAATATTTTATTTTATACAAATTCATTTGTTAAAATTAACCTAAGAAACCAAGCCTACTTTAGAGGAATATAACAAATTTTTTTGAGGATTTGCTTGATTTTTGAACTCATTATTGGAGCTATTGGAATAGGCCAAATAGGAAGTCGGCCAGGCAGCACCAAAAAAAAAGACGTCAGAATCGAAATTAAGCACATCCACACAGAACTTTCAGGAAGTACACACGCATAGGGTGGACTTTTGTTTTCGAAGGAAAGAATAAAACCTCTACAAGTGGATGTACTCACCGACCCACACACCCACATGCACCCAACCACACACACTCTCATGTGGGATCTTGCTCCAAGGCACAGGCTCGTAAAACATACCCTTTCTACCAAAAAGCAAAATAAAAAAAAATGAGAAACGAGTGGCAAGCATACTCAAGACATACTTGCAATAATTTTATGGCCTGGCAGAGGCCTCAGTCTTTATCCGCGTCCTGGACCAGGGGCTACGGAGAATACACAGGGAGAAATTATTCAATGACCTCTCAATCATCGCAGGTTTCTAGTAATTCATCAAGTTTGTGTTGTTTTTATTAATTTTAAAGCAATAATAGTGATATATATTCGTTTCATATTCTTTAATTAACAGAAGAATGATTAAAATATATAAAAATTAATTTTGAAATGTATGAAATGGCTTTGGATATCCATAGATATTTTATTAGACAATAAATAATGGATTAAATACTTTTAAAATTTAAAATTGAGCATTGTTAATATAACATTCTTAAAATGTATTGATTGGTGTTATTTTTTCGCCGTGTGCGGAGTTTTGATGAGAGAGCCATGAAATCAACGGGGAAAGCGGAAAGAAACCATCTCGGTGGACGAGGCGATGAGACAGACGGAGACGAAACCAGAAAGCAGTTACATAAAAATCCATGCTGTCGAGCATAAAACAAAAAGCTCCTGGCCAGGAACAACAAAAAAAAAAAAAAAAAAGAAAAACGTACAAAAGCAAAAAAAAAAAGAGAACAAAACACAGAAAGGCAAAACAAAAAAAGGAAAGGGGGAAAGCAAAAAAAGAAAACCAACAAAAAACATCTCTAATTGCAGACACAATGACTTGTAGGGGCGGCAATCGGGAGGAGCAGAGCAGGTCCTGGCCAGGACGACTGACTGTTGGAGATTGAACGAGTTGCAAGGATTTGCACAGTGCCGCAGGGAAAGATGCCCGCTTCGGTGGCATGGCAGACAGCCGAGGCGCATTCATGTGGAATATGAAGCGAAATGTCAATTTGGAGATATATATATATATATGTATATATGCTGCAGATATACATAGAAGACGGCATATACCTATAAGTATCTGGGTTTGAGGACCACAGGGACCAGAACCCAGAAGCTAAGCTAAAGACGAAATTGTTATTCTAATTTAGGATAAGGCTAAATCTGTTTGCAGGCGAGCCTGGGATCTGATGAAACGAAAACGGGTTTCGAATGCGACACAATGGTCGGGTATTATAAAAAATGTAAATGCTTATTAAAGTGCAAAAAGGTCCTTTGGGTATTTGCGCACCCAAGCAGGCCAACGGCCTTTTATGAATTTTTGATATCTCTCCGGGATTATTGCTTTTGTTTATGGCATCTTGAGCTCTTAATATTTGATTGTTGAATATTTTACAGGGCTTTTACGCGTTGGGTAAATGATGTATGGCCCGCAAAAAATATAACGATCAAAAATGCATATCTCGAAGGGAAATTACTCTTATTCTTTTTGAAAAAGATTAAAACTTTGAATACTGAAAAGTCGGTTAAGTGATTTTATTTTATAAGATTTTTAAGGAAAGGAATTTGGTAATCAAACTGTGAACTTGCATTGGAAATTGTTATATTAAAATCTCCTGATTGCCTTATTAATCACGTTATTTTAAAGCTTATATAATCTCTCTCCGTTTTTGTTATCACAGATACCACCTGCAGTGAACCTTTCGAGGCGCACCTACGCGGTCCCGGCTTCGTGATGGAGCCCCCGGGCCGCGTTGAGTTCTCCAACTCATCGGGCGGCTGGCTGGATTGCTCAGCCTCCGGGAGTCCACAGCCGACGATCGATTGGGTGCATGCAGATGGAACGGCGGTGACTGAAATACATGGAGTGCGGAGGGTACTGCGTAACGGTACGCTCGTCCTGATGCCCTTTGCGGCGGCCGCCTATCACCAGGAGGTGCACAACACCATATACCGGTGCATTGCCAGCAATTCGGTGGGCCGCATCGTCTCCCGGGACGTGCAAGTCCGTGCTGGTGAGTAGAGATGCGTGGCTGTGCCAGGGATTACTCATTTTTGCATATTAAAATCCGGTCTCTACACTCTCCGGCAGTCGTGGCCCAGGCCTACAAAGTGGATGTGGAGGTGCTATCAGCGTCGCGCGGCTGCACCGCCATCCTGCGCTGCGTGGTGCCCACGTTCGTCAAGGAATTGGTACGAGTGGTCTCCTGGGTTCATGAACCCGCTATCTACATCTATCCCTCGCTGCAAGGCGGTAAGTAATCGGGGGAAGTCTGTCTGCTGCCAGAAACCGACTGCCAGAAAGGACACAGCACGAAACGAAACGAAACGAAGCGAAGCGAATCCTACGAGCCGGCTTCTGCATCCTGGCATCCTTACCCTATGCCAGCGGCCTGGCAAGCCAACAAAGTGCATTGTTTGTTTGCAGCAGTTGCCTCACATGTTTGCCTGCTTAACTGCACCTTCACCAGACCACTCTGCTCCTCTGTCCTTTGGCGCATAATTAACATTGTCCTTTAGCAATTTAAGACGAGCTGCAAGTCCTGGCTGTCTATATTACAAAGCAGATTTTCCCTCTTCCTTAAGAAATTCCATTTTCTGTCCGCTTGTGTCAGGAGTAATCTATTTGAAAAGGTCAAGAGTGTCTGGCGGTAGATTTAAATCTTTATCTTGCGACAGGATAAGAGTTTATGTTTCATATATCTTAAGGAATTTCTTAAATGCATTTTAGTTAAAAAAAAAAAATACATAAAAATGTTCTTAAAATTTATGACTGGATTTTTTCTATTTCGAGAAAGATTTATGTTCGATTTTAGTTTCCAGTGCTTTCTGTGTCGAATTTTTTCCAAGAGTTAGTTAGGTTTTTGGTCCTTGGCTTAGGTCGTTGGCACCACTAACTCGGTACAGGACAGTAATGGACTCATCTCCTCTCTATTTCTCTATCCCCCAGACGGCAAATTCCATTTGCTGCCCACCGGCGAGCTGCTCATCCACAATCTGCAGGAGAGCGATGAGTCGCAGTCCTTCCGCTGCCGCAGCATGCACCGTCTCACCCGCCAGGTGGTCGTCAGCTCACCCACTCGGCTGCGTATTAATTGTGAGTATACCCCAGACCCAGGATCTCTGAAACCAAGAGCCATAACCCGAACGAAAACCCCAAGCCAATGTCACACACCTATATACACATATATATCCATCGTTTCCATCATCTCTCGCCGCAGCGCATCGCGGCATCATTTCGCCGAGCGTGGTGGAGCACACGGCTCATGTGCAGGTGTCACAGGATGAGGGCGCGGTGCTGCTGTGCGTTGCCCAGGGCTGTCCTTCGCCCGAATACAGGTGTGTATGGGTAGTGCGGAGGGGAGTAGGGGTACACAGGTATGACTATATAGGTGCCGCAAATCGATGGCATCCCCACTCACTCCTTCTCAGAGTTCCCTGCTCAATCCCATGCTCGCTGAGAGCTTTAGCACACATTTCTGGGGCGAAACTTTTGACGTTGACAGGTCCAGTGCCTGTGCCCCACACACAAACTATCACGCTATTAGTTATTAGTTCACTTGGAGAAAAGTAACATAAACATAACATAACCTTTCATATAAGAAATAAGTGGAGACTCTGTGTAAATATTTTTTTTATTATTATTTGTACACCCTTATATAAACTAAAGTTTTAAATAAAAATACTTCAAGTTAAGCTTTAAAGTCATATATTTTGATTTAAATATAAAGAACTAGAAGTAATTGTGTGTTAAATTTATTAATAATTGTTTCTTGAAAAGGTTATTGAATGGTTTTTCTACCCCAATTTCAAGCAATTAAGTAATTAAATTCAAATCAATATCAAAATATTCTCCAAGAATACAGAGGTCTTTTGAAAATTCCTAATTAAAACCCATTTCTTCCCTGTGCATGGGCATTGGTTTGGGTTAATTGGAACGCATACATCTATAATATGTGCGGCCAGGGCATTTAGTTTGCCAGCCAAATAAATAAACAACCCGGGGGTCAGATGACGATGCAGAGGGGAGGGAGAACTCTCAGCCTGACGTGCACATTATTTTATAAAATGTGTCTAAAGAGTTGGCAAACGTGTAGCCCTAATTGAAATGTGAGCTAAAAGCGTTAGTTAACTTTCTCGACGGTCGACGGGTCGTATGAGTGATGCAGCATTACATCATTACATACCCCTGGTTCAGGAACAATAACCCACGTAATGATGTGTATATAGTCAGGATAGAATGTCTGCATCCATATGTGATGTGCCTGTAATTAAGCTTTGATAAGCAGACAAGTAATGCAAAAAATACAGACAATGTCAGGCTGCTGACGGAAAACAAAAGAATCTATAAGCAGGCGGGTGGGATGGCTGCACATATAGATACATAGATCGCTGTGCCACGATATAAAAAAAAAAAGAAAACAGGAGAAACTTGCCATTTCATAATTAATACACCAAAGAGGGAGGCTGGGGGCCCTGTGCGAGAAGAGGGATAATGAGCGAGGCAAAGGATTAATGCAACATTAAACAAAGGTACCACCAACAGACAGGCGGGCATGGGCGACGACAGGGGATAAGGCACGCCAAAGGTAGTCCGTCAGGCCTTGAACTTCGCTTCGATGGCTGCTAGTTGAAATTAAAATACCCTTTCAATTTCCAGCAAAAACTTCATCTGCCATCCGGGGTTAGGAATTGCTCCTGCGAAAACCAGATGGTCCATGATAAATGAGCTAGAACCGCCTGAAAGCTGAACTCCATTAATTTAAGTCAGTCGGAAAAAAGCTGCAATGTTGGAATTACAAAGCGAAGATTTCAATTATAAATTTACACAAGTCAAGGAATAGGGGGTCCTTTGAAAAATAATGTCAGTTCAGTAGGATTTTAATTATTAAAAAAAAGAAATTGGATGTTTTGCTAGAAGAAATAAATAAATTCCAGTTGGTTTTTGGGTTTGAAAAATATTTTGAATATACATTTATATCTTTTATACAAATAAATATTGTGAATTTCTGAAATCCTGTTTTTTGTGGTCAAGAATCAATTGATTTCCAAAAGTAATATATATCCGATAATAATGTAATAGAAAAATACATATCAACAACCGCAACATCTATTCTTTTTCCTTTTCTATTATTTTCAAATTGAAAATCGCGATTAATGGAGTCGATTTACAAGTGTCTGATCCACATAAATTTCCCAATTTCCCGCCCCTCTCCAACCACAGCTGGTACACCCACAACGGAGCCGGTCCCATTCCCGTGCTGAGTGGACCTCGTGTGCGACTCCTTGGCCCCATCCTGGCGATTGAGGCCGTGACCGGTGAGGATTCCGGCGTCTACAAGTGCACCGCCGGCAATGTGGGTGGCGAGGCCAGTGCCGAGCTCCGTCTAACGGTGGCCACGCCCATCCAGGTGGAAATCTCGCCCAACGTGCTCAGCGTCCATATGGGCGGCACAGCGGAGTTCCGCTGCCTGGTGACCAGCAATGGCAGTCCGGTGGGCATGCAGAATATTCTGTGGTACAAGGATGGACGCCAACTGCCCTCATCGAACCGCGTCGAGGACACGCTGGTGGTGCCCCGGGTGGGTCGCGAGAACCGCGGCATGTATCAGTGCGTGGTTCGGCGTCCTGAGGGTGACACGTTCCAGGCCACCGCAGAGTTGCAATTGGGAGGTAAGTTATAAGAGCTAGATGTTTAGATGTAGATGTTTTTATTTTTATATTTCTTATTTTCTTACTTACACTATTATTTTAAAAACTCCCACCTGACATTTCCAAGGTCTCTCCTTCTCTGTTGACTCATAAAACGTTTTCTTCACTGTTTAGAAATTCTTGGTTTTATGCTAGAACCTATTTTTCCCCTGTGTGAATGTGACTGGTTGGCTCTTGTATCTTAAAATATTAATGTGACCTCTTTCACACCCTCTCTCTCTGCATCCGGCTGTATCCATTGCTTTATCCTGCAGATGCCCCGCCAGCCCTGCTGTACAGCTTCATCGAGCAGACCCTGCAGCCGGGCCCAGCTGTGAGCCTCAAGTGCTCTGCTGCCGGCAATCCTACGCCGCAAATTTCATGGACACTGGACGGATTTCCGCTGCCATCAAACGGAAGGTAATTGAACTTGTTGAAAAGGGGCTGTGGAAGTGGGAGTCGGGTGGGGAAATGTAACTGGAACGGGGTGGTGCCTCGAGATGGGCTTGGCAATGGCAAACGGCAAACGGAAAACGGCAACGTTGCACAGTGGGATATTTTTCAAAGAAATTAATTTAGAATTTTGTAGATATTGGAGCCCATTTATTAATTGTTTTTATTGTTTATATTATATATCCTTCCATAATATATTTTTTATTTTAATATATTATAATTATTAAACCTTAAATTTCTTAATATCTCCCACTGTTCGTCGGCGCTGCGGGCGTTCTGTAAAAATTTATCTCAACTGCGGCTCCCGACTGTGGCTGCGGTTGCATTTATTGCACTCGTTTTGTATGTGTGTATTTTCTGCCTTTTTTCCCCCAGTGCCTACGTTTTTTTCAGCATTTTCCTTTCAAAAACATTGCCGCACGAATATATAGAAAAACATATACACATAAACATACATATATATGAAAGTGGCTGCCGACTGCCGCGCCTACAAAGGTGGGTGGTGGCCACCTCTTCGTCGTCGTCGTCTGCTCCAGCGTTCATTCACTCCTGCAACTGCGACTGCTACTGCCACTGCGACTGTATCCGTATCCGTATTCGTATCCGTATTCGCATTCGCAGCCACATCCGTATCTGTATCTGTGTCTGCGTCTGGCCCAAGGTTCCGACTTTGCCTTTCTATTTGTTAATTAAGCCCGGTCGGTCGGTCGGTCGGTCGGCCAATCCTTACATCCTTACGCATTTAATTGCATTTTTAGCTGGCTGGGTGCCAACTAAATTAAATGACAGCCCCGCCAGTCAGGGCCTTTAATGACATTGACATTTGCATTTGCCGAATAAAATCGAAGAGTCAGAGGCTCGGATCAAATTGAATCGAATGGAGGGAACCTCAAATAGTTTGTTGGCTTAGTGTAAGTAAATAAAATGCGGAAGCGAATCGATTGATTGCCAACTCGGTCTCCGACATTGTCAGCAGCATTTCATTGGATTTTTATCGAGCGATTCCCCTTACCTGCCCCTTTTTTCTATACATATATCTGTATCTGTGGATTACTAGTGGGAATATGTACATATCTGTGTATCTGCAGCTCTGGTTCATTGGCAGTCCTCGCTGGCAGCTGCCACTAATTGTTTGAGTTACGTCTGTAATCATTTGCAAGTCAAAGTTTTCGCCCCGGCCACTGTTGACTTCTGTTGTTGATTAAAAACTACGAGTACCAACAGCAGTTACCATCGAAATCAGCATCAGGTTTTTTATTTGCATTTGCTTTTTGCTTACTGATGCAGACACCAGCGTAAAAATAGAAACACGAAAAAGCTGCAAAATAAAAAACTAAGGCAACAGTGTCCTGATTGTTGTCCTGCGTTGCCCAGCTGTGCAATATTTTAATTAAAACTTAGGCAATATGTCGAAGGCAGATGAGCTGCTATCAACATGATGGGTTTTGGAGAGAACACGACTATATGATACCTCTTAACTTTAGGCAACTTGCCTAAAAAATCTATGGAATAATATATGTTAAAGATCCTTAAAGGCTCTATATTTAACAGAAAATTATTTTAAAAAATCTTTTTAATTCTATAGCGCATTTCCTTTGAATTCCCTTTAAATGTCCACATAAAAATATGACTACTTTTTATGCATGTAAAGCTCTTGAGACTTCAACTTAAGGCATCGCCATGAATTCACTTCACTCAAGTGGCCATCCATCCAGGGTCCTTGGGACCTGCGGCGGACATTTCCGTTATCATTCCACTTCTTCGATGGTCCAGGAAGATGGCTTGACCACAAGGCAAAATTGATTACAAAAATTTGTGTGTTATGTGGTCGGTGTGAAAATTTGCTTTCGGAAACTTGTGCGGACATGCAGATGCCGATGGCTTTAATTTAAAAGTTATCTGAGCAACACAATTTTGACACATAATGCCCGAAGGCATTATCCTGTCCTGGCGTCGCTGGCAACCTAATTTGCCAGGCGGCAAACATCCTTAGCAATGCTGCATAAATTCTCTTGCCGGTTGCCGTCTGCCGTTGCGTTGTTATTGCCGAGTTTTAAGTGGTTTACATTATTCGGTTTAAAGGTATATCAACTTGGTAAGTGTATTTATTTAATACACACACACACACACACACCAGAGTGGCAGACAGACAGGCAAACAGGGAAAATGGGGCGGGAAAATGGCAGGAAAATGTAGGGGGCGGCAGCGGAAAGGTGGGGGAGGCTGACGCCTTGGGGCGGAAATTAAATGATTGCGCGCACGAGGTAACGCAACACTCAAACGCTCATTTTACGCCATTTTCAAAAGTTTGTCTGCGGCGGTGCCAGAAACTGAGGCACCAACTCTCAGGCCCAAGCGGAGGCGAGATGTTTTCCTTCAGTTTTCCTTAGCTTTTCTGCTCCTTCAGTTTTTCCTGCCCTCTTCCAGAGAGGGAGATGGAGGAAGATGGATGCCATGGAGGCTATGGAGGCGTGTATGCATGATGCGTTTGTCTACAACTGCAGGCGTTATGGAAATGTGTGTAATTTTGGCCTAAATGAGAAAACGCTTAAGCGGCGGCAGGAAGGCTTTTTAGGGAAATAATACCATGAGCATAGGAGTGGACCTTGCTTAACAGTAAAGAGTTAAATAGCTTCTCTGTTATTACATTTATATTTCTAATGAAATTATTAGATTATTTATATTTGCTTCAAGCTCTTATTAAGATGAAGAAAATATATTTCAATAAATTACAGACCTTTAGATATTTTGTGATATTTTAACCAAGTTTTTAAGACTTTAAAATAGCTATTTAAATTTGCAAATTCAACCAAAAGAAGTTTTACTCTTCAGAGCACATAAAAACCACTAATCTGTGCCGGCAAACTAACCTGATTGGGATCCAAGTGCAAACTCAATTCGCGTAAATTGAAATTCATAATTTTTCCACGAAACTTTTGCCACGAAACTTTCTCCATTCTCCTCTAAAAAGTGGCACCTACTAAAATTCTTATTCCTGTGTTTCCTTTTTGGCAGGATTCTGGAATTAAGCCACCCGCAGAGCAGGGCACTCACAGCAGCTGCAATCAGCTAAAACAGCACACAAAAGCCGCGCCAAGCTATTAGGTTTATATTGTTGCAGCCAAAGCGTTTTATGTTCCACACACTCGCCACACACACACACACACAAACATTTAAACTTGTGCAATGCCGTTTAAGCCGGCATGGTGCGGATGCGGATGTGGATGCGACTGTGGCTGAGGATGTGTGCAACTTTGTTGCAATTTTGTCCTCGCCATTGTTTCTATGCGCTCAAGTGTTGCAGTCCACCGCCAAGTGTCTCCCGTCTCCCGTCTCCGGGGGGAGCGGCTTCATTTTCACTTAACTACAGTTGCTGTTTTTACAAGCCTGGGCAGACTCCATAAAGATTTTTCGGCTTGACTTGGCCACTCTTTCTGGGGAAATCAGCGGAAGCTGGCCGGGGCTTATGCATTCATAAGCTCCGCACGATGCGGCCGCTGCAAAAGTTAATTAAAATTGTAATTACTTCTCCTCCGTCATTATTGTTACGGCTCCGAGTTCAACTCCAACTTCGACTCCGTTTCTGTATCCGGGGCTGTAATGCCAATTGAAAAGTTGCCACCGAGCCGGGGCCACAAACTAATGAGCCAGCGGGTCTGTATGTGTGTGTATGCCGGCTTAGATCGCAATCCCTGGCCATATAAGATGCCACAAAAGCCGATTGTGTGAGTGCCACATGGCGTATGCGTAACAATGTTGCCTGTAATTAATGTCTGTGCCAATAAGAAGGCATTGCAAACAAAGGCTCCAACAGAAGCGAACGAAACGAGTGGGCACAGAACTTAATGCCAACTTGAGCGCCTCCTGAAATCCTTTTTTCCTCATTATTTGAGCTCAGGCGTAACGGTCGCATTAAGTGGAAGTGGAACTGGTTGTGGAAGTGGAATAGTGGGCATGGGCGTGGCACATGACATTGACGGCAATATGGAAACTATGCTAAGCCCCGACAGCGCGACTGACAGCCTTCATTACGACTAAATGTGGCAACGAAAAAAAAAAAATACGACAAAAAATAGAAAAACACGCAGCAAAAATACGAGATGCCAGGGCAAAAAAAAAATACAAAATGAAGCCTACAGCCAAAAGGGATTTGGGTCAGGCTGCATTTTTGAAGTGTGCCTAGCTGATGAGTGTGCCAGCGCAGTGGGTGTGTGTCCTTAAATATGCAAAAGAGGCTCAAAAAAACAATTCTAAAACAAGCCGACATTGCGCATACGCCTCGTGCGCCCGCTAAAATTGCATCCAAGCCAATATTAATGTGTTCTTTATGCTCTCATCCCCCCTTTGCCATTGCAGATTTATGATCGGACAATACATCACAGTGCATGGCGATGTAATTAGTCATGTTAACATAAGCCACGTCATGGTCGAGGATGGCGGCGAGTACGCCTGCAACGCCGAAAATCGGGCAGGACGAGTGCAGCATGCGGCCCGCTTGAATATTTATGGTATGTTGTATTCACACTTGAAGCGGGGACTCTAAAAAATAGAAAGCCACCGAGAAAAAATGTCATAGAAAAATAATAGAAAAGGTTAATAAATTACAGAACTTTTAACACAATGATTTAATAACTACGAAACTAATAATAACAAACTAACATTTTAGCATCATTTACATTTTCAAAAATTATTTTAAAGTCCACAAATATTTGTTTTTCAGTTTCTTGAGGTTCTGCATAAATTTACCATAATTTTTATAGAAAAATATAAGCAGTTTTGTATTCTTCTCTGTGCAGTTAGAAATATGGGCAGCTACTTACATATGCACTCAAACGTTCTCTCCATGCTAGAGACTCGAGGTCCTCTATTCTTTATTTTTTTTGGGCATTTGCCTACTTTTGCCTGATTTTGTTGTACAACACGTCCGCCTTGTCCTCTCCGTTTTGCCCGGAACAGATCCTTGCGACTGCCACGCCCCCTGCAAGTTTACTTTTGTGCCTTTGCTGCACTGAAGTGTTGTTCGAGGCGCACACTTCTGTTGAACATGGCTCTCGGCTGGTTGCAGTGCTTTTCCCTCTTTTTTCTCGTACCGAAAATCCTGGCGAAAGGACACCCAGCTCCCAGCAGCACGCGCAGCACCATCTGCCTTGTTTTTGCAAGAAATCAAATATTTTTGTGTCGCCAGGCAAACAAAATGGCGTTGCCAGGACGAAAGGAAGGAGCCGGAGAGTGCAAACACAAAACGACAGCAGCGGCAAAAACTGCGCCATGTTTACAAAGTTTTGCAGTGAAAAAGTTGAAAAATAAAGCCAAGTAAAAGCAGGAAAATTCCTTAAGCGAATAGGGGGATGCTCTACTTTTAAATAAGAGGACAAGAAATTTATAGATATATAACGCTTTGCGATTAGTATACTTCTAAATATTTAAAAATTTTCTTTGCAAAATATTTAATTGATTTTTAGACAGAGATTTATGTTACTTGGAAGTCTCTCATTTACAAAGCTACAGACCCAAGTGATTTCTTGTGATAATCAAATAAAATCAAGGAAACAAAGTGTGTCAGAACCTCTTCTCGTAGTTTCTGTCTACTTTTCCAAGCTCTTTGACAGTTTCCGTATACCCTTCAAACAATGTTTGCCTGCCGGAGCTCAAAAAGGTGGTGGAAATGAATCCCACTTCCACCATCATCATTTAGTTTAAAGCTCGGCGATGTCGCTGATTGCGCGACTTGGTAATGGCGGTGATTACAAAAATCCCGCCATCCAACCGACTTTCCTCAGAAAACACGAACGCGGACAGGGACACGGGCACGGGCACCACGTATGACATGCTCGAAAATTATGCATATTCTGCAGAAAAAAAAATTTATATAAAAAAAAAAAAAACAGCAGCCCACAAGGCAAACCAGAAGAGCCGAGCCGCAAAACTCTTGCCTCCTGCTCCTTCAGCTGCCAGGACCGACATTTGCTGCATTATTTCCTTCCACTTTTCCAGGCGAGGAGAGACAGGAAGAAACCAACAAGGATATGCATATTACATTGTGCTCCCCATTCTGTTGCCTGCACAAAGGGAAAAAGTTAAGATAGCTAAAGTAGATTTTAAAAAGTAAAAATTGTAGAGAAAGGTATAAAATATATGTTTAAAAATTGTGTGTTCAACTAAAGCGTTAAATCCTATTTAAATATATAATTTTTTATTGAATTTAAAAAATCTTAAAAATATTACTGACTTTTTTAAAACTATAACTTACAGAAAACCATTAACATTCTTTAAATCCACGCTGGAACAGTTTTAATTTTGGAAAACACTTATCTCTTTAGAGCAAAATTCAGAAAATTTGTTAAGAATAAATATTGAAGACATTTTCTCTCAGTGTCCCCGCTCCCTGCTCATATTGCTCTTGTAGTTGTAGTTGTTTACTGCATTATTAAAAAAGCAACGTGCGCGGAAATCTGTTAAGCATTTACATTCCCCCCCGAACCACCAATATCTGCACCGCTACAACTCATCACCGCCACCTGGCTTCGTTTCTATTATTCCGTCCATTTCCGTTCTCCGTGACACAGGTCTTCCGTATATTCGACTGATACCGAAGGTGACCGCCGTCTCCGGCGAGCAACTGAATCTGAAGTGCCCTGTGGCCGGCTATCCCATCGAGGAGATCCACTGGGAGCGCGGCGGGCGGGAGCTGCCGGATGACATACGGCAACGGGTCCAGCCGGACGGCTCGCTGACCATCAGTCCGGTGCAGAAAGCCTCCGACTCTGGCGTTTACACGTGCTGGGCGAGGAACAAGCAGGGTCACAGCGCCCGGCGGAGTGGCGAGGTGACGGTCATAGGTTAGTATGTGAGGCTGGAACGGTGCTTGAAAAAGCCCCAAAAAAGAAAACCAAAATGAGGAAAAACCCAGGGAAAAGAAAACCCTTGGAAAAACAAGCAAACAAAAAAAATAGATGACGAAGAAGAGGAGGTCGAGGTTGGTTTCTTTCACAGGATTCTCCCCAAACGATGACATCAGGCGGCGGCGGCCAGCAACGAAACGAAGTGAAAATTGCATTTTAATTATTAACAGCAAACTAAGTAGTTTCCTATGGCGCTTCAGCTTGCTACAACCTTTTGGCAACCTTTTTGCATTTCTTTTTCGTAACGTTTTTGTTTCTGCTTAATTTTGTTTTGTTTTTGGCCCTCAGCCGGGCGTGTGTATACTTTTTGCTTGAGCTGTAATTAAATATGCGCAATAATCTAAGCTTAAAAGTTGGTAAATTAAAAAAGGAAGCCGAAGGGGAGCGAGTCGAGACCCTTTTTTTTTTCATTAGTGTTAATGTTAATGAATTCGCGCCCTAATGAAGCGCCGTCCTGATTAAATTTTCATAAATCGCAACCTTTTCGTGGCTCCCTCGTTGGCGCTTCCTTTTTTTATTTGCTTGTTGCGCTCACGCAATCCTTGGCTGATCATCCTTGCAGTGCCGCCGAAGCTCAGTCCCTTCCAAACGAACATCCTGCAGCTGAACATGGGCGATCGGGCCTCCCTCACCTGCTCGGTGGTGAAGGGTGACCAGCCGCTGACCATCGTTTGGCGAAAGGATAACCGGCCCATCGACCAGACGCAGCACATGTCCGTGAAGCTGGTGGACCAGTACAACAGCATCCTGGTGATCGAGAACCTGGGCAGCGACCACACCGGCAACTACTCCTGTGTGGTGCGCAACTCCGCCGCCGAGGTGGAGAACTCGCAGGCCCTTCTGGTCAATGGTAAACACATATAGAGCGACGATTCGAGTCCTTCCTCGCCGTATCCGTAATACAGTTTAGTTGCAAGTAGTTGAGTTTCCTTTCGTATGCACTTTGATTCATGTACTCGTACCCATACCATTGTAATCTCCATCTCCACACTCCAGAGCAGAACCACTTGCATATACATACGATATTTATATATACATCTATATATATACGATCCTTGCTATCCTTTGTAAATGATGTTTCCACTTTTGGAATGTTTGTACAACATTAAGTAGCGTTTTCATTCGAATGTGTTAACAAATCTGCGAAGGTTTACAGAGCGTACTCTATTCCGTACACAATTGACAATCCTCATCGAGCAGCAGTCATCGTGGGAATCCTCATCGAGGGCTTCGCAGGAATCTTCGCTTCCGCTTCCTGTTCAAATCTTAACCCATCTCGCCTGATCTTTCCTCTTGCAGTGCCACCGAGCATAGAGCCGTTCGCCTTCCAGGAGGGCCTGGCCGAGGGCATGCGGACGAGGACCGTCTGCGGTGTCTCCCGGGGCGATGCGCCTCTGAAACTGCTCTGGCTGAAGGACGGAGATCCGCTGCCGGACCTCCTGGGCGCCAATGTCACCATGTTAGACCAGTACAGCTCCCTGCTGAGCATTCCGTCGCTATCTGCCACGCATTCCGGCGAGTACACGTGCGTGGCCAAGAATCCGGCCGCCGAGATCAAGTATACGGCCCTGTTGCAGGTCAAAGGTAGCGTACTAGCGTACCCATCAACACAGCAAAACCGAAACAAAACACTATACATGGAGGGAGATTAATTAAATAATCATAAAATCTGCTTATCTGGATTTTTGTATAATATTTCTTATAACTGAGATAAGGGAGATTTGTGTTAAAGTTATACAAAAATCTAGATTTATTCAGCTATGACTATAAATATTCTCAACTCCCACACTCACACATAACACATAACACTAAGCGATCTTCACATTGCCCCTCAATAACTTTTTGCTTTCCCGCTGATGTATTCAAGAAGAGCTTTTTAATGGTATTTTCAGTTGTTGATGATATATTTTTTTGGTTGATTTTTAACAACAAAAGAAACTAGGCTAAACCCAGCTTTTTTGGGGATATCTGCTCCAGTTCCGGGAGTAACTGAACGTTGCCCTAGCCCGAAGGTGCTTTGATTTTTTGATTCTCACTAAGAAAACCACCACCAACCAACCCAGATAAAAAACGAAAACCCCCATTATAAAAAAACAATAAATGTCCCGCTTTAAACACCAAAAAAGAAAAACACCCTACTAATCTATAATTAAGAGTTCCCCCGCCACCCTTAAGTCGCTTTGGCACGCTGTGGGTTTTTTTGACAACCGTCTCACCAGGTAAACCGTTTAACTGCACTGCTTCTTATGCGCTTCGTAACCAAAATCTAACAAACTAAGTATAAAGCTTATGAATATATATCCATTTTGATTTGCTGCATATTATTTAAATGGCTTCTTACACGACAAGTCCGACACATAAATTAGGTGCTCTCTCCGGGCGGAATTTAATTGGCGGTACTTCATAATCTCCCTCGGAGGGCGCACTGCATTCGTGATTAGCTGTAATTTATAATTTATACAAATACTGATGCATAAAAACATGGAAAGATAAGCTGCTTTAAGAATTATTTGCTTTACTCGCTAAAAAAAAAACCTTTTTTTCGTTGCCGTCTACGTCGCTGTTGCTGCGCGCCTGCAGGATAAATGCAGGGCGCTCCTTTGTTCCCCTTTTTTCTGTTCTTGGCTCCGCTCGGCTCCTCTCTTCATTTTTGACTTGACTTGCAGCTTCCGAAAACTCCACTCCACTTCATCTACTCCATCTACTATGCTCAATGTGCTGTGCTTAATTAACGAACGAATAAACAAGGCGAACGCTGCAAAAGAATGGGTTGTGTTCCACTAAAGGAGCAGGATCCGCAGCCACCCGGAGTGCTCCGAAGATGCTATTGAAACACGCGCTTATGCTTCAATTTGGTTTTGGTTCTCTCTAAACGCTTACTCTATATCTGTACACCGAAAAAAATGGCTAAGGAATTGAAGAAAGCTAAGATTAATTTTTATTTAAATTTTAAAAATTTTAAATAATTTAATTTGCTGCCGAAAAGTGCTGTGTTACAATCAAATAGCTAAATTCTGTAAACAAAAAATCTTAATGTTAATTATTATAATTATTTTTTTATAATTTTTCTATCTTAAAAAATCTCCAGTGATTTAAAACCATTGAAATAAATTGGTATAAAATATAGTCTACTTTTGAGCAGCCTAAAAAGCTGTTTAAAATCTCTCAAGTTTCTAAAGCCGTTTATTTTGTAAGATGATTCAAACTGTGCCATATTTTTTTTTCGGTGTACTTAACCCTTTCGCTTGTGTGAGTGCCTGAATGCCCAAGTCTGCCTGCGTGCTTGTGTGAGTGACAAAACGCTTAAACCTAATCTTATTGCAGCGCAAATTAAACCGCAAAAAAATAAACCAAAAAAAAAAAATGGAGAAACCGAAAAGCAACGGATAATAAAGCTTCGCAGTATTTGCTAATGTAGTTGAGAATGAATGTTTTTTTTCACTAGCAAGCGGCTAAAGGTACTCTGCTGTGCTGCACCTTTTGTTTCTGCATGCGGACTGTACTTTGCCATAAATGTGCGTAGAATTTGCAATTTTTGTTTGGTTTTGTGTTTGCTCTGAGCCATCATCTGCATGCGCGTAGTGCTGTGACAAACGAATTTTAATTTCCATTTATTTATAATTTGCTTGCTCTCCACTTTGTTTCTTTTCGTTTCGTTTTCCTCGGTTCTTAAGCCCCGGTCTTAATTCGTTTTTGGGTTTTCCCCGCTCCTCAAACATACACCCACACACACACACACACAGAGTGCTCCGTTAAGCTTTCCCCGCCAGGCAGCCTTGGCAGTCCTGGGGGTGGGCAATTATATTTATTTTCATTTGCTAAGCGACCAGCTTGACATACACAATATTCCGAAATTTAATTTATTTACGAGTATGCCATGCTGCCAATGCTGCTCCACTTTCCATTTTCCTTTTTCCACATTTCCCAGGCTGCGCTGCTGCTGCTGTTGTTGAGTGCAAAGATTTTTATTCCGTATTCTGTATTCGAATTATAGAATCGCTGTCCCCGAAAACCAGTCCCCCAAAGAACCCACAAACGCTTTTTATTATGCAAAATAATCCAATGCAAAAATAATAATAACCAGAAATCATTTTAATTAATACCCGGCCTGGGGGCCCAGCTGTTAATTTCATTTATGCTCTCTATAATTTGTTCCTTGTCCGGGTTTAATTTTTAATTAACATTTTTCATTTCGTTAGAGCTGCACAAACAAAGGCTGGCAATTAAATGCAGCTGCTAAGTAAACAGTTTATAATTTATTGAAAACGAAAAAATAAAGCCAATCCATTGGATCGGCGGGTATACAGGGCAATTGTTATTAAAATTACGTTTTATCCGTTCGCTTTTTTCACGTGTTTTGTTAGCTGCGTGTCCAAACTATAAAGCTCACACACAATTTTCGATTTATGTTGCGCATTCTATAATTTCTATGCAAATATATATTTTCCATTACGCTTCTGGCATGCCTTTGTTATTTAATTTATGCGCCGACTATATCAGAACATATTTAAGCCTTTTTTGCCATTTTGTTGTACAAAACAACGAACAACGAACAGCGAGGCACAGAGCGTGGGCGAATCAAAGAAAAACACACCTAAGAGAAGGCGATAAACGAACGAATTGAAACAAAAATTCAAATCCTTGCACACCAACAAAACAAATCGCATTAATTAATTTATCCCAAACGATTCTCCTAAACGATTTATCCTTAAAACAACATTAAACATTAAAGGACCAAAGTTTTCTTTAATTTTTCTTACCTTTTTGACTGAGTTGCATATAAAAGAATTATTTTTGTATTTGATTTTGAAGCAAACCAAACCCAAAAAAGCAAACTATCCTTTTGTATATTAGTTGAAAAGTTCCTACTATATTGCTACCACTATTCAACCAGTTTTACCATCTGTGCTAGGCACTATGGAAATCTTAAGAACGTAAAAGCAAAATTCTTTTCTGCCGTTTTTTACTTTGCCAGAAATCTTCACTTTTCCTCTCTGTCTCTGTCTCTCTCTATATCTCTCTCTCTCTCTAAGAACCATTACTTTAACTGTATGTCTTAGCAGTTTTGATTTGAATCATTCGTTTCGCAGCCCCTGACTAACACTTTTCCCAAACGACGCTAATTGCTTTTCTCCATCACTCATACGCCCCGTAGTGCCGCCCCGCTGGATCGTTGAACCTGTGGACGCGAATGTGGAGCGAAATCGCCACATAATGCTGCACTGCCAGGCCCAAGGTGTTCCCACGCCCAGCATAGTGTGGAAGAAGGCCACAGGTGAGGTCTTTACATCAATTAAATAATATTTATTTCAATACATATTTAAATTATAGTTTAAATTAAATAAATCTTGTAAAAAGAATAAAAGATCTTTAGTATACAAATTCTAATTATCCCTAAATTATCCTCCCTTTCTTTACAGGCAGTAAATCTGGAGAATACGAGGAGGTCCGGGAGCGTCCCTTCACCAAACTCCTGGGCAATGGCTCCTTGTTGCTGCAACACGTTAAGGAGGATCGCGAGGGCTTCTACCTGTGTCAGGCCAACAATGGCATCGGCACCGGCATCGGAAAGGTCATCCAGCTGAAAGTGAACTGTGAGTATCCTGAGTGCTAGAGAGTTGAGGAGGTGGAAACTGGGAAGCAGGACTGGCAATTTGGTTAATTGCAATGCTTGGGGCCCCCGGAGGAATGCCCGGCCGTAATTAAAATGGGGAAAATGTGCGCCTTTTTGCAGCCTCGCCGTACTTCTCCTCCACTTCCCGGTCGGTGATGGTGAAAAAGGGTGACACAGCCCTGCTCCAGTGTGCCGTAAGTGGCGACAAGCCGATAAACATCGTGTGGATGCGCTCGGGCAAGAACACCCTGAACCCGTCGACCAATTACAAGTGAGTGCCCTCAGTGGTCGGAGTGCAAGAAGCGAAAGTAATCCCGGCAACATTGCCTTGTTTTCAGGATCTCAGTCAAGCAGGAGGCCACGCCGGACGGAGTCTCTGCGGAGCTGCAGATCCGCACGGTGGATGCCACCGACAGTGGTCCATACTTCTGCCGGGCAAGCAATCTCTATGGCAACGACCAGCAGCTGGTGCAGCTTCAAGTCCAGGAGCCGCCGCTGCCTCCGAGTGTCCTGGAGGCGGCCATGATAAGCAGCCGGTCGGTGAATCTCAAGTGGCAGCCCAAGTCCCTGGGCACTGGCGATGTGACCAAATATCTGGTGGAGTTTCGTGAGGCAGATCGTAAGTTTTGCAAGCTTTTCCCCTTAAAATCTTTAAAAACATTTCGTGTCTTGAAAATATTTGAAATAGATTTATATAAAACCATTTTTCCCTTAATTACTCAAAAAATTCCCTTCTAATTATAGTCTTCCCGTCAGCAGCTCTTTTCGTAGAACAGTGGCAACAGATCGAGGTCAAGGATCCGCCCACCTTTAATGCCATGGTGGAGAACCTTAAGCCAGCCACTCGCTATGCTTTCCGGGTAATTGCAGAAGGCTCTGCCGGACGCAGTGCACCTAGCCAGGAGCTGGTTGTTCGCACTGAGCCCCAGAGACCGGCAGGACCACCGCTCAATCTCTCGGCCAGGCCTTTGTCTTCCACGGAGCTGCTTATCAGTTGGGTGGCTCCGCTGCCGGAACTGCGACATGGCGATATCCAGGGTTATAATGTGGGCTACAAGCTGGCCAGTTCAGGCAATACGGCGTATAATTTCACCTCCGTGTCGGGGGATGGCGATGGGGGTAATGGTGAATTGCTGCTCAGTGGATTGGCCAAATTTGCACGCTATACCGTGGTGGTGCAGGCATTCAACCAAGTGGGACCAGGACCTCTGTCGGAACCCACAGCGTCGCAGACTTTAGAAGATGGTAAGTTTTCATTAAATATATTTTTCCGTATTTATATATTAACTTTTGTTTATTATTTTCCTTTTAACCAGTTCCCAGTCGGCCACCAGAGGATGTGCGTTGTGCCGCTCTCTCCTCCCAGTCCCTTCAGGTGTCCTGGCAACCTCCGCCAATTTACCATACAAATGGCCTTCTCCAAGGCTATAAATTGATATTTGAGCCCATCATTGATGACATTCAGCCCAGCAAGGACGAGGTGGAGTCCCGTAAGACGACAGCTCTCACCATGGTGCTGACAGGTCTGCGGAAGTACACCAACTACAGCATCCAGGTGCTGGCCCACACTCGCATGGGAGACGGAGTCCTCTCAAAACCCCTGTATTGCCACAGCGAAGAGGATGTTCCCGAAGCGCCGGCGGACATTAAGGTGGTGTCCAGCTCATCGCAGTCCCTGTACATCTCCTGGCTGGCGCCGTCGGAACCCAACGGTGTAATCACCAAGTACAGTCTTTACACTCGCGTGGTGAACGGTCGCGAGGAGCTGAACAACGAGAAGCGGAGCCTGCCATCGCAACAGGCTTATTACGAGGCGAAGGGCTTGCATCCTCACATGGAGTACCAGTTTTGGGTGACAGCCAGCACACGGGTGGGCGAGGGCAAGAGCTCTCGGGTGGCCTCGCAGATCACTACCAACCGAGTGCCGGCGAGGATTATTTCCTTTGGTGGTCAGGTGGTGCGTCCCTTCCGGTCCACTGTCACCATGCCCTGCACGGCGGTGGGCAAACCCAAGAGGGACTGGTTCAAGGGCGATGAGGTTGTTCGTCAGGGAAGCCTCCACAACTCCCAGATGCTGGACAGCGGCGATCTGATCATATCCAATCTGGAACTAGAGGACAGCGGCAACTACAGCTGCCAAGTGGACAATGGCATTGGAACCGATAGACTTACACACATGCTCCTGGTTCAAGTGCCGCCCACAGCACCGACTCTCTACGTGACCAGCGCCACCTCGAGCAGCATATTGATGCACTGGAAGTGTGGTTTTACGGGCAATGCACCCATCACTGGCTACACGCTCTTCTACAGGAGGACGAATGGCAATACGGAGGAAATGCAACTTTCGCGGCATGCTTCGAGCCATGAGCTAAAGGGTTTGGTATGCGGGAGCACCTACCAGGTTTATATGAGTGCCCAGAATAAGGTGGGAACGTCGCCCTCGAGCACCATGCTCCATGTGCGCACTCAGGGTCAGTCTCCGGGTCAGCCTGCCTCTACAGCTCTGCTGGCTCCCAACTCCACTTCGCTTTTGGTGCGATTGCACTCCTGGCCGGACAATGGCTGCCCGCTATTGTACTTTGTCCTGCAGTACCGAGCAATCACCGAAGATAATGATCAGGATTGGGTTTTAGGTGAGTTTAACGTTATTCTATTAAAAAGGCCTTCCAAATAATCCATTCTCTCTTCAGTATCCAATGCTCTGAAGCCACAGCGTCGCGTGGTGGTTAACAATCTGCGACCTTCGACTCTGTACCACCTTCGCATGGAAGCTCACAATGTGGCTGGTGTGTCGCAGGCGGAGTTCTCCTTTGCCACTCTCACCAAGGAGGGTGATCCTCCGCCAGCGGATGTGGTGCATCGTGGCCACCGAGGACCAACTGTGATACTAGGAAACATCAACCTGCTCATCCCGAGCATTGCAGCATTCTCCGGAATGATCTGCACCATTATCATGGTCATCGTCTGCTATCGTCACAGTAAGTCCAAATGAAGAATACTTGTGTTGATTCAGAGACCCATTAATTGTCTTAGTGCTAAAAAATGCACAACAACCGATTGCAGAGCAAAGTACACATATCCAAAAGGAATCCTTGGAGAACAGGGCCAACTCGGAGGCTGCTCAGAGGGAGCGCTACTATGCCACCATTCACAAGGTGTCTATGCAGAATAATGACAAGATTCCAGGTAAGTGAAGGGACTTTTGGAGGGGCTGTCACAGAAATATCACAATTAATGAACTGATTGTTCTGAGAATTTTAATAAACAAAACCCTTTAAACCTGAGTTCCAGGAAGCAATTCCTCGAGAACTTTGACAACAAAGCCTACAAGTGATTTCTTGTGACACCCCTGTCCATTATATTCTATAATATCCACTCGATCAGCTCTGCTTAACGCCCGTGGGTATATTTCACAGAAACCTCCGAGGACATCTCGCCGTATGCCACCTTCCAGCTATCGGAGGCTGGAGGCAATATGTCACAGCCACATCATGGCGGACCGGCCAATACGCTGCTCCACTCGTTCATGTACCACGAGCGGGCTTTGGCCGAGGGCTGCTCGTCGCCACCACCAGCCGCGGTACTGAACCAACCACCAACCACCACCCATCACCACCACCACCACCAACGTCCACTAAAGACAATTCATAATTATTATCAGACCTCACCGTTCCATAATATCGTGCGTTTGTTTGTTCGTTTCTTTGATTTTAGCTCTACTCTTACTCTACTCCACTCGATCCGTGTGCCTCCAAGGCGCTCGATTAGTGTTTTCCTAAGTGTACTGCATACTACGTGCTTTTTACGTTGTTCTCTGCTCGTGTATTTTGTTGCCCTCTTCAGTTTAGAGTTCCCAGTTTCCAGTTTCCTGTACTCTCCTCCTTCTGTTGATTACTTGCAATGCCGTAAACCATGCACCGGGGGGTCCATGTCATGCCCCCCGGCCTCATGTGTCATGTGTCACCTCCTATCAATCTTGAGTTCTTCGAGTTACCCTTTCCTTTTGAGTTCGAAAAAGCGTTCCACTCCCCTGGCGCTTTTGTAGTCGCTAGCTGCCACCTTCCCGGCGGTAGATCCAGTTCCAGACTAATCTCCTGCTTCGTTCCATGTGCAGTCCAAGAACCGGAGGCGTCACTCGCGAAAGACGGAACCGGAGAGCGAGGAATCGGAGTCGGATCAGGACCAGCTGACCTCCAGTCGCACCGAGTCTTCCAATCAGCACGAGGGCAAGATCAAGCACAGTAAGTTCAAGTCGATTTTAAAAAGGCGGAATTTTTTGGGATGCCTAAGATCATCATCAATGGTTGTGGCATGCAGCTTATTCTACTGACATATTTTTAGAAACGGATTTGAAACTAATATTTAATTTAATTTTAATTTTTATTCAATATATTAAATATATTTTTCCTAATGAATATGTCAGCAGGATAGGACTAGAATCTGCAAAGGTGAAAGCTCTCAGAAGGAAACTTCCCGAAGAACATATTTCTGAGAGCCTTTACTGCCTTCGCTTTAAGTTTTCAGTTTCCCAGGCTTTATAATTCAAGAAATCTAAAGCCAGCTGAACTCTCTTCTTGTGTTGCTTTGTTCTTGCAGACTCTAGACTTATACAACACTTTCCAAACCACAATATATCGATTACATATCTGTAGTAGGCCAAACTCACACAGCACCAAAAACCACCAATCACACCAACCAGACCAGATCAGGCCGACAAATAAGACTAACGTATAAGGCAATCCGATTTGTGAATTATAGTCTTAAGTTAGCAATAAGATTGATGTTTGACGCCTGTTTTTAACCCCCCTTTTTTTTGGCAAAATGTACGAAGAACTCTCTATCAGCCCGATCTTTGTTTTCTGTTCTTTTCTTCCCACTTGACATCTGCGATCCATCATCAATGATCCACCCCGATCTGTTGCTCCCGTTGTTGCTCCTGTGCAGGCATCATCTACCACGGAGCACAGTCCAGCACTTCCTCCGATCTGTCACCAATGTCCGAACAGAAATCATTGCCCCGCCGCGGTCGCTCCAGGTATCATCACCAGCAATATCAGTTTTCCACCAACACCACACCGCGCCACCACAACAGCAACAAGATCAACAACAACACCACCACCAACTCGAATACGAACACCAACAGCACAGCCACCAATACGACAGCCACACCATCGACATCGACATCGAACAATTCGAACAAAATTCTATCGCCGCGCGGCGGCAACCTGAAGTCCATATCGAGCACCTTCAAGTCCCAAGACTCCATACAGTGCCACATACCCACATTGGTCAAGTCGCCATCGATCAGTACACAGCAGCAGAAACAGTTCCACAAGCAGCAGTTGCAGAGTAGTAGTAACCAGCATAGTAGCTCATCCTCCTCCCAGAACAACAGTAGTAGCCTGAAGCAACAGCAGCCCCTGCTGATCACGCCCAAGCTCCATCAGCTGGAGTCTGGGCCCAATGGGGCCCAGGAGCTGTTGGGGCTGGACGGGATCGGCGCTAGCCCGTTGGTAGCCTGCATGCCGCCCTCCTCACAATTCCGACCCATTCCGCACAAGTCCATAATGCCCGCGCATGAGACACAGCCGCACCACCTCAATCACAACCTGAACCACAATCACAACAGCCATCTGCAGCACCAGCAGCAGCAGTCGCAGCTCCAGGGTACGTTGCTTAACCCCTCGACGGCCATGCTCTCGTCCAAGTTCTTCACAGCGCCCACGCTGCCCAAATAGGATACGGCCAATGGGGGGAGTGAATATGTTGATGGCACCATTGGGGTCATGGACGGTTTCGGCTACGACAGCGGCGAAATCTCCTGCACCTACATGGACCCCATAGATCAGACATGAGACCTGGCCTACGGTGAGGTGTGTGGTCCCCCCGAGGGGGCCCGTTAAGCTCAGTTCTCACGACCAAATGGATCAGCTCAAGAGGGACTTATAAACTCAAGTCCTAGAGATAGAGTCGTTCTTAAGGAGTCTCCTTATTAAACTGAGATCCCTAGAAAATATAACTATGAAAGCAAAAATTCCAAGGGAGCATTAATATGACCTTGAGTAACATCTTATGCATTTGGTCGTGAAATCTGTGGCCCACCCACGCACACCCAACCACACAACCAGACTAGAACACCACCCACTAGGTCTTAAACTTTGAATGAATGCTTGAATGCTGTGGTTGCGAACCTAACCAAAAAAAAAAAGCAAACCATAAAAAATCCAACTCTGGACCCTCTCTTGTACTTGCACCCCCGTTCACCCCGCAACGATTGCCACCCACCACCCTCCCCACCCAAATGAAACACGCATCCAGGGCCGGCATCCTGCGCACACTGCATCCGCTCCAGCTGCAGGCCGAGTGCGCCGCCGGCGGCGCCTTCCACCGCACGGAGGACGGAGGCGGTGGCGGCGGCAGTGGCAGCGGCCTAGGCGAGCGGATCGAGCTGGCCGAGGTCGAGTGCGACGTGGACACGATCAAGAAGCTGAAGCTCGGGCAGCGCTCTTCGCTCTGGTCGCGGCCCTCCTCCACCACCTCCCAGCTGCAGCAGCAGCAACAGCAGCAGCTGGATCATCAACAGCAGCAGCAGCAGCATCAGCAGATGCGGCAGAAGGATCACCAGCAGCAGTCGAAGGATCACCAGCAGCAGCAGCAGCAGCAACCACACAAGAGAGCCCATTCAAAGTCACCGCAGCCGCAACAACAGCAGCCGCTGCAGCAGCAACGTCAACAACAACATTCACCCGCTCCTGGCCAGAAATTGCTAAGCGAGAAATCGGATTACTCGATATCCGTCTGAGACATTGGTAAGATCTGATCGCATGATCAGCATCTAGGATGAGACAGGGCCGGCAGGCCCAGGCCCAAGCCCAGCAGGCCGCCCGATGGCCAAAAGTCTCAGCGAAATCGAAATTGAGCAGCCTCCCCTTTTGTACATTTTTGTAATGCATTTGTTACCTTGCCACCAAGCCCTCGCCCCAGTATCTCCACTATATCCCCCCTTTTGGAAGAGCCCCGAGATCCAGTAAAAAACCTCCTGAGAAACACTAAGTAAACTTTCGGACAATCAGTATCAAAATTTTGCACCAACCATCCATGAAACCATAACCAAAACCATGACCATACCCACAGCCAAAACCAAAAGCAAAACCAAACCAAAGCATACCGAATCAAACACTTCCCATTATAAACTCCTGCCCGTATTTATAGAGGTCATACTATATCTAAGTATTAACGATTGTGCATGCTACTATACACATAGTTATAGTATATATATATTATGAATGGCATGTGTCCAGAGACAGAACCCAGGTCAGTTGTCGAACTTCCAGAAATGTTGTATGTACATATACTAACGTAGTCTCTTAAGTATCCATAACGACTAATCACTCGAAACTGTAACTCAAACTACTAACTGCAAAGCTATCGAATACTATCGTATCGTATCGAACTCGAACTCGAACTCGAACTGTTTTTCCCACATATGTCTAGGGAGTGAAGGAGGGTCTTATATGTCCCGATTTGTAATGAGTGTATCTGGGCTATAGCTACTCCTAAAGTAGTCCTGTAAGTTTCGGTTTTGTAGTGCTCTCCCGATGAAGCGATGAAACGAGGAATTTAATCTTGAAATTTCAACTAAACCAAACACTCAGATATACATATATGCTGTGTACAAATTTATATGAATGTATATTTATATTATGTGTATGTGTGCGTGTCTACGTTATGAGACGGTGGTGTGCTCATGTATATAGGCTATATATACCGATACTCGAGATATATACAATCGAAGAATACTCTCTATACATCTAGTTGTTAGCGAATCCAAGTACAGGTAGAGTATCAGAGTATATTTTGTAAATAATCAAAAAGTGAACCCCAAAAGGACTGACAATGATGCATGACTCCACTGAGAAAAATCACACAGAAGCAGAAGCAAAAACAAAAACAAAAATAGAAACCAAGTAAAGCCACAATGAAAATGTTAACTAAATATATTCGATATAGCCGATGTACACACACTCGAATATGTCGCCAGCTGAATTTGAATTCAATGCAGTATTCATAGAAAATATGACATGATATCGCCAGTATCCACACATTAGTGTTTCTATTACAATAAGCTGTCGTCTCATTCGTCGATACAGAGTTGTAGATAAATGTTTTTAAAAGCGAATTAAACGATAGGAGAATCAAATACAAGTCGTAATCAAATTTCGAAATATTACCAATCAAGCAGCAGCAGCGAAACACGAAAGCCAAGTTAGGAGCAGACAAACAAACTACAAATTAACATAACTCTTAGTTCGTATCGAATAATCCAAGTAATACGAGTACGTAGCTGTATTTTAAACTAGCCTACGAAAGCATAAGGAACATTAACAGTCAAATAGGAACGATGAGGAGCGAGCGGATCGAACCCATTTCGGAAACCATGTGCCAAAATTTGTTTTTAGAAAAAGCTCTCTTAAATTACGAGTATACAATAAATAATGCAAGCCATGAAAAGCGAGTATAAATAGAAGCCATGAATTATGAACATACAAATTAGAGCCACACACAATCCACACCACAGCATAAAGTCGCAGTTTAAGGTGTTCACTTGGGGGCAACTTACTGGGCCCGGGCCCCAGCCTAAAACTTTTTTTGAGACTCGTTTTTTGGGAATATAATATGGAAACAGCACTCTTTGTTTATATAGCAATTGCGGTGCGGCAGCATTAACGCCGCAGCCGGTTTTAGTCGGTTTTTTATATGAATTTATTTGTACGAAGCAATGAAAATGGTTTATTACATTCAACATCGAATTTTACGAATTTATTAATAACAACAGCAAGTTGCGACTGCAAGGCGCAACCTCACAGCAAAGTCTACAAATCAAAAGAGGAAATTAACTTAATAGATCACAATCAAAAGGAGAACAAAACCGAGTACATGTACGAGGGGAATAAACAATTTTTATGTTTAACATATAATTAGCACAACAACTACAAAATAAAAACTATTAATGTAAAAACAAACCGCATTTAAAAAATATAAGAAATATTTAAAAATAAATGGAGAATGTTTTTATTTTCTAAAGGGTTTTGGAGTTGGAGTTTGAAGAAGGTAAGAAGTCGGTGGATTACATTTGGCTTCTATTTTTAAGAAAATATTATTTCACCATTTTGTATAACTTATGAAACATAGAATTTTACGAATTAAATATAATAAAATTTCATAATTTCTATTCTTCAACTGATAGTATTTTTATCTCCAAGTTATAATACCCAAAATAACTGATATCAACTCTATAATTCATTATAAACAAGAAAGAAAGCTAACTTTGGCCAGCCAAAGTTTGTATACCCTTGCAGGTATCAATAATAATAACTAAGCCAAAAATGCATTAATTTCGATTCGGAAAGCAGTTTTGTGTTAGTTTTTATTAATTTAAGAAAACTGCATACCAAATTTAAAATTTTAAGAAATCCAAATTTTTGGCCATTTCTGCTAATTTTAATGATGTAACCCCTTATCAAATTTCGCAAAAATGGCCAAAAAATCGATTTCTTCCGGACATGTCTAAAAAGATTCCCCTGTTGATGCTGATCAAGAATATATATGGTTTATGGGGTCGAAAATGATTCCTTGACTTAGAAAAATATTATTTTGTATTATAAAATCGGATTTTTTATATTAAAAAACTTCTTAATTTTTTTAATTAAAAATATCATAACTCGGCCAAAAGAGCATTAATTTTAAATCGGAAAACTGTTCTGTGCAAGATTTATTACAGTTAATAAATCTGCTTACTTCATTTAAAAATTTTGAAAATTAAATTTTTTATCAAAATCAAAAAATTTAATGATTTAATTTATAAAATTTTGCAAAAATGGCCAAAAAATCGATTTCTTCCTGACATATCTAGAAAGATTCCCCTGTTGATGCTGATCAAGAATATATATACTTTATAGGGTCGGAAATGTCTCCTTCACTGCGTTGCAAACTTCTGACTGAAATTATAATATCCTGCAAGGGTATAAAAACCCCCCAATAACAAGAAATAAGAACTCTTTTAAGAATTTTCATATAACATAATTTTTTATTCATTTTTTTGGGTTTTTTATTTGCGTGCACACTTAATAAATAATATGGATAATGGATAATACTGATTGAAGCCAGGATACTCACACTGAAATCCTAACGGGCAGAGCCAGGGGCAGGGCTCGGGATCGTCGGGAATCGGTGTAGGACCTGGAACGAGAACGCCCATGGGAACGGCCACGAGAGTGACCACGGGAACGGCCACGGGATCGGGAGCGATCGCGCTTGCGATCCTCGCGGACGTGCCTCCTCCTATGCGAGATCTCCTCCTGCTCGACGGCAATCAGCTCGCAGTCGCTGTGGCCGGAACTGGAACTGGAAGAGGAGCTACTGTGATGACCATGCTTGCGTCCCCTGTGATGTCTTTTACCTCCTTCAGAGCTTCGGATCGCCTTGGGTTTTGTATCCTTGCGAGACACCTGAGATTCCTGCTGCTTTTGGAGTTGCTTCATGACGTCGGTCAGCATTTTTTGGGCCATAGTGGCCTTGCGGATGAGTTTCTCTATCGACGGGGAGGCGGCCATGTCCTCGACTTCCACGGGCGTGGAGCGTGGCAATTGGCCGCGGCAACCTTGACATGCCTCGGGCATCGGATTTGCCGCAGTTTGCTCACGTGCTGCGTTATCGGATTGCGACATTTTTGCACTAGTTTACACCTGACTTGATAAGAAATTCACTTAACACCTGCTTTAGGAGCTACTTTTGCTACTGTAACTAAAGGTGTTGCTGCTAGGACTGTTGATGTTGTTGCTGGAACTATTTCTGCTGCTGCTGGAACAATTACTGTTGCTGCTGCTGGAACTCTGGACAATATTGCTGCTGCTGCTTCACTTGAACACTTGAATTCGACTGGTTTCTCTGGACTTTCGCCGCTCTGCTTTTATAGGCAACTTTGGCGCCAAGCTTATCTCTACTTTGGCACTGTAAACATTTGCATTAATTTATTTATCAGCAAAATACACAAACACTAACAAAGATTAGGTGACGTCATGTGTATATTTTTAGCTTGACCGATTTCATGTGCTTGGAAATATCACGTGTTTCAAGAAATTATGTAATTTAAATCCCACACCTAACCTTAAATATTTAATGAAATACTTTACGAAATAGGTTGTAGATTAAATTTTAAAAAATATTCAAATATTTAAAATACAGTATTTGCTTTGGAACTTAATATCAAGTTAAGTTAAAAAAGATATCAAATGAGTCATCGTTTATTTTTAGAAAAGCTATTTCGCAGAGTTGTGAAATTTTGTATATCAGGTGCTTATGAATTACATAACACTTAAGGCTATTTTAACCTACAAATGCACTTAAATAATAAATAAAATATTATCTAATATCTTTAAAAAAAAATATATATATATATATAATTTTTTTAGCCATAAATAGAATAATATATTTATATATAATTAAATATTTTATTAAAAACCTCGGCTTGTCATAATAATTTCATCTCAACTTGAAAGATAAAATATTTCATATATAAACGAAATTCCTTATGATTTACTTTAAAATTCTACATCTGTATGTAAAATCAATTTTCTGAAATAACTGAAATGCTGATACAGACAAAGAAGGGAATAAAGCTTTTAAAAATATAATTATTAATAATATATATTTTTGTTTATTTTGTTTGTTTATTTATAATGTTTAATTTTATTATTTATTTCGTGAAAACTTTTTAAGGTAAATATTTTAAATTCAAACTTGGCGGTTGCTAAATATAAGAAGTCGTATAAGACAAAGCCGCACTACTGAGTTGGTATATATTTCTCGGACTGTCGAGGCACCTTACAGTAAGCGGCCACACTGTCTACTGGTTTTTTATAATTTGGATTTTTAAGCAATGATAATCGGTTAAAATATTTATTATAAAACTGGTATTGTTGAATATATTTCTATAAAAATATATGATTTTTATTCTTTTTATTTTGTAATTTGTATTGATTGAAACAATTTGACATTCAGAAATCAATTGTGGATTATCACAATGTATACTATTTTATTTCGCTATAAATTCAATATATTCTAGAATGGTTATTTTGACTGTAATTGGATTCGATTATTTAAACAAATAAAAATAAATTAATAATAAATTATTTAAATGGAAAAAATATACAGGAATACATTTAATGAAATGTTTTGATGAATTCGGCTTCGCATAAACATGGTATATGAGAAATTGGCGTTTTTGGTATTTTTAACTTGCGTTTTTACGGCTGCTCTAAAACCGGAAAAATCTATATAAGCAACCCGCACCTTATTCTCTCTGTAATTTTTCGAGAGAGCGCTGCAGCGCGCGCTGTTTTCGGTTCCTCCTAAAAAATAAATATTAAAAACATCGATATAAAAAAAATAAAACCTGCGGCAATTGAAGGAATTTTTCGAGGAACCGGTACGAAAATTTAAAAAGTGCTAAAGTGTTAGTTTACCCCGAAAAACACAAGACTTAAATTAATATTTAATTAATTAAAAACACGTTATTTTTTATATTTTGTTAAAATTATATCGATTTTATTCGCATTCGAACAGTTAAAACTTGTTGTTTTCCGCAAGTGGGCGCGTTTTCAGTCGCTTTTCATTTTCGCTTTTCCTGCGCGAGGAACGGGTTTTCCACCGAAGCCTTATGTTGTTTCTTTTTTCTGGCTGAAAAACTAAATTAAAACGAGAGGCTCTTGCGGCAAATTAATCGATGTGCGGTGGATACTTTTAATTTGCAGATTCAACATCGATTTTTCCTTTGAGCGCTCAGCTGCAATGTGACAGTGTGTTGGTGTATCTGTGTGTGTGTGCGAGTCCTGGCAATACAAATAAACCGTTGGGTTAGGTAAACGGAACAACAAAAGGATACAAACAAGAAAAAGAGAGAGAGAGGGAAAAGGAGAACCTTCGACAGGAACTCGTCCTTCAAGTGATCACTCATTCATGCTCTCCTTTTCTCCAGTTCCTGCAGCTGTCATTGAAATTCGCGCGTGTGTGTGTGTGGGAGAGAGAGAACTCCGGGGTGATAATTCCACATTTATTCCCATCTCTCCATCCTTCCCTCCGCTGTACGCGTGTGTGTTTGTGCATTCAATTTGCACAAAATTTAAGCGCTAAATTCGCAAATTTCCGTCCGCGACTCGCTGCCATCCATTTTCTGCACTCCCCCCCCAAGAGAGCGAGGGCATTAATAGAATTATCAGGCAGCGGGGAACTAGCAAAATCGAAAAGAGAATGCCCTGGGAGGCCGTAGCGCCGCGACCCTCTGACATTTCCATCGTCGCCCACTGAAGAAGGAACAGCCGCAGAAACAACAACCTCAACAACAATTCGACAAACAAACAAACAAAACAAAGAAAAAACATAAAAACAGCGAACGAATCAACGAACCAAACTCCAGCAGCCTCAATCGCTGGCACAGTTTTACTCCTTCAACTCCAACTTCGTGGGTGAGTAACTACAGTGGAACTTCATATTATGTTAAGATTAAAAAAAAATTAAATAAGTAAAGATTTTTTGTTTATTATTATTAAGTTTTAAATTGAAGCCTGATATAAGGCAATATTATGTTGTCTTGTTAAAATGGTCTCAACAGAATTTTAAATTGAATTCAAGATAGGGCATATCAAAAACATATCTATATCTAAGGAAGCTTCAATAATGAATCAATATACTTATTAATATAAGTATCTTTTACACTTGATACTTTAAAGTATTTATTTAATTTATAAGATATAATATATTTATTGAACACTCTATCAGGGCTAATGAACTCCATGTTATTGCAAGTTTAATTACCTTATCAACTGGTTTATTCAATAAACTTGATATTTTATATACTTACATAAAAGTATTAATTGAATATTTAAATGCCCCAATAAAATAATGCCAATCAGGTTTACGAACCACTTAAAATTGTTACAAGCTTGTCTATTTACTTTCAAATCAATTTTAAATATCCTCAATTAAAAGTTTCCATATCTTTAAGATACATGTAGTGGGAGTTCCACTGTAACTCATTGGCGGGTAGAAAGTGGTTATCGAATATGAGCTGCGACTCGAGATGGAGCCACATCGTCCCGTCCCGTCCGGTGGGTGACGATGGTGGTTGTGGCGTGCGGGTCAGAGGTGGCAAGCCTCATGTCTTGGCGTCGTGTGGCTTTGGTTTTTAGTTGAAATTAAAAAGGTCAGGGCAGCGCGACTCCGGGCTTCCGTATTTACATCCTAGCCACGTCGTCCGCTTCATTATGCAGCGTTAACTTCAACGATACATACTATATTTATATACATATTTACATCAGTATGGTGTGGCAGCTATAATTTCAGTTGCATGACTTCAGCGATAATCGATTTTGAAGCGACAAAGCAATCAGGAAGAGTGCAATTTGATGTCAGTCCGTCAGTCAGTCACTCAGCTAAAGAGTCACAAACTGACTGACACACTGGGAAAAAAAAAGTTATGCCAAAGCGGGGTCAACATGACAGGTTCCCAATTCGAATGGCAAAAAAAAAGATACAAAATAAACTTCAAGAAGTTTTGTTTTCTTGACTTTTTTGGGATAGCTAGTTTCTTTGTTCCACTTATTTTGATTGGATTTTTGACTTACAAGATACTTTCTTTCACGATTAAAACCCTAACTAAATATATAATAAATGTTTATTTACGTAAGTAAATACTGGGCTTTCTTACCAACCATTAATAGTTTTTGTTGAAGATCTTCTCAAAGAGATTTGATCATGTTTGGCATTATTTCTTCCCGTGCTTTGTGGCCTGGTTAAGTGGCTTTTACCATATTCATAAGCCTCGATCGATGGGGCACAGCGGACATGGCGTCCGTTACTCCATAATGCGACAATTTGCTTCCCGGAGCGGGGGAGGGTATTAACCGCGGAGTTCGTTGAGGAAAACGCTAATTAAGTACAATTAATGCAGTTTCCGCTGAGAGACTCATAAGAAATGAGCCTCGTTTCTGCGTGTGACACATTTTGATTTGCCACACAAACAGTTGCCTTTCGACGATAGGACTTATCAGCAATATTTTTTTGGTTTTGGCACTTCTTACCACTTTGGAGCCCCCAACTCCGTGGAGATAAGGAGTGCATTTTCTATGAATTTCGCCCCGATAACCGGCATATAAATGTCCGATTAGCGAACCTTTCAATAACAATGGGTATAATTTATGATAAACAAGTTTCAAAGTGTGCGAATTTTAGCAGCTCGCTTGTGAGACCCCTAAAACTTGTCTTAATTTTGCATTGTCTATAGTATAAGACTCCATATAAACGTCTAGAGCACACACACACTCATATATGTAGATGTCTGGGTGGGTTTCAAGGTCAGTTGAATGGCCAGATTTTCTGCCTCGTTTTCGATTTTGGAACGGAACCCTCTCGAGTACGAAACACGATAAACGAGGGCACATACATATATCGCCTTACGCCAGACAAAAGAGATACTGTTATTGCATTTCAGAGGGGATGGACGGCTCCGAGAACAATTCTGGACCCGCCTGGAACCTTGCCAAAGCTCTCGAGACACGCTTTGACAATGAGCGAGGCTCTCAGGCGAGACTTTCAGGCGTCTTTCTGTCTCCAGCTCTGTTTCCATTGCCGCGCCGCCAGATGCTTTCCATTCGCTTTGGCTGTGCCGCTTTTGGCGGTTCCTGCACTGTGATAAAAAATCTGTAATAAAAATTAAAGATAATTTTGATGGTCTAAAACCTTGAAAATATTGATAAAATATTTTATATTTTTGTGCATAATCTTTAGATACTATTCCCGTCTGCTTTCCCTGTTACAAAATATTTTTATTTTATATTTATATTATTATTATAACTTTGTGTCTTTAATAGAACATAACAATTCATTAACCATTATTTACATAGAATTTAATATGGTTGTTATATGAATACATTATTCCAGTTGCCCATTTATTGCCTTTTTACGTGATTTTCGTATTGAAAAATAATATCATAATAATCATTAATTATACCTATTGTTATAACAAAAATATTACCATTTGTGGCTTATCAATGGGAAATTTTAGATATCTAAAAATGTGCAGACATATATATTATATGTGTGTACTGTTATCATATCACAAAGTATCCCAAAGATAGCAAAATAATATTATTTGTGGAAAGGTATTTTGTATGCTTGTGGCTTAATTATATATCCATAAATGACGAATTTATTTCTCTCAAATAATTTTGTACAGATGTGCACAATATATATTTTTATTAAAAACTTGTTTTCTTTTAAACCCAAAACCCTTTAACAAACTTGTTAACTTTCGTTAATGGTCTGCGATAATTTTCAATAACCTCACTAACTACCTAAATAAATAAGAAATGTTTATTTATCTACCAACTTCCCCTTTTCTCTGTACTTGATAAAATTTCGCTCTACATTTTTGCAAAAAGCTCGCCTTGTTTTTCTTAGAAAACTGGTAATATCCACATATTTCAGCAAGAACAGTTTCTTACTGTGAACTCGTATTTTTCGTGATTTTTTTTTTTGCCTGTGTGGTCTTTTGCGCTTTACCTTGGTTTTATGGATTGCCTCCAGTCAAGCTCAACTCGGAGCGGCCACTGGTCAATGGTCAAGACCGCCCGCTTTACGCTGCCCCCTTTTTCCGGCTCCGCCGGTGGAGAGTGTCGTGTGGCGCATGCCGCTGAAAAAGTCCGCCGAGCGTGAAGTACAACAGTCAGAGTACTGACTGTTTTTACTCGGATCGGTATGAAAAATATGTGTATTATGGCATGTCGTAAAAGCCATTTTCTTGATATCCAAAATGTTAAGAGAGCAGGTTGCCATAGGCCACAGACATCAAACGCTGGAGATCAAGACGCAGCCGCGATCCCGACTTTCTCTCCGGCATATGACAAATAATTTTTAGTAGTTGGCGTAATTGCCAACGCAATGGGTTGTTAATTAAGCCGGGAGTTTCACAAAGAGAGCGCGCACCACCGAGCGAGCGGTACTACTCCATAGTCCATAGTCACCGTGTCATTCCGCTCCACTCTGGTCTATTCCGGTTCGCTTTTGGGCCAGGCCAACGCACGATATTCCGCCCTCATGGCACATCTGTGTACTTGCCTCAAAACAAAATCAAGTGCGACAACGCATTTGTCACACAGCCAGCAACTCTACATTGGCAAAACGTACATTTCAATCGAATCTGTCTTTGAATCGCTATTTATAGACAGCGCGGGAGTGATGATTAATTGGGGCGTTCGGATGGGGACTCTTACACTATGCATATTGGAGTTTTCTTAGGCATTCAAGAAACTCAACTTTGTAGAATAGTTTTAAGCAGAATTTTCATAAATCAAGTGAGTAAGCTCTACAAGAAAATTGTAGGCTTTTATTATAAGAATATAAATCATGGTGCTATTTGACGAGTTTTATCCACTCCACAAAAAGTGATAGATGATTAAAAATTCCATGTAAATGAAAAAGAATACAGAACTTAAAGTGTTTGTAGTATAATTTTCAAATTTGTAAAACATGTTTGCTTTTTGTTTTTAACCCTTCATCATTTATCACTCCTTGAGGGTTAGTAATGCTTCTAGAAAATGTATATCAAGGAAATGAAATTGTTAATCCATTTACTTAATCACTTATGCAGTCCAGTGCAATCCTCAAAAGTATGAGGCATTTTCCAGCGCTTGGAGTTGCCTTCTTTTCACTATTGCTCAATCTACTTTTCGAAAAAAAAAAACTTTCCACCAAATGCAAAGCGAAACTTTTGCGTGCCGTTGCCGTTGACTGAGAAGCCGCCAAAAAAAAAATTGTTTATAGTTTAAGGCACTAAAAAAAAGTAGCAACAGCAACAATAACAGCAACAGAAACTGCGGCGTCTAAATCAACAACAATAAACCCAGGGGCAAACTTCAAAAAGCGCTGAGCGATTCAGTCGGCCGATTCTTCCTGCTCCCCTTACTCGCACTCGAATTATGGTTGCCCAATGTCGGATGCCCAATTCCCAAGGCATAATACTCATATTCCCGATCCCCAATCCCGATCCCCGAAAGCCCCAAGCAACCCGGGGTTCGTGACAGCCACCTGGCACCGCCACGCCCTCCGTCCACTGATTTCGGCCCCGCCCCCTTTCGGTCTTAGTTATTCTTTCTTTGATACCCCAAAACACATATACAGATGGGCCCCAAAACAAATTGAAACTGTTGAGAAAATATAGGCGGGAGGAGCGGTGGAAACTGAAACTGAGGAAAAGCAAAGCCGCGAAGTCGAGACAAGGGAATCGGCTAAAAATTAGAAAATCATGCTTACAATTTTCTGGTCCGCTCTGTGTGCATAATGCGCGATAAGTCGGCAGGTGCAATGCAGAACGAAGAATCACCAAAACATGGACGCGGCCAGAACGAGGGAAAGAACCCGGAAGAGTCGAGAAGTTCTCCGACTTCAGGCCACCATATTCCCCCTCCTGGGTCTCCTTTGGCCCCTTCTCCGAAATATAAACTCATGGCACTGGCCGAAAAAGAGCACATGTTTTTAGATCAATAAGATCTTATTGAGGTTCAACGAGACTTTTTAACCTTTTAAAATATATTTAACAAAAAAGCAAGGATAAAAATTAAATTTATTTAAATTAAATTTATAAATTAATTAAAATAATTAATTTTCATTAAAGTCTATTAGTTTTGTGATTTTTTCTTCCTGTGTTGCGCAGTTTTCAATTGACTTTCGTCCCCCTTGAGGAAAACTGTGCGCACAACTTGCAACTGCAACTCATTATAACTGCAACGGGGGTGGCGGAGGGGCTTGTGTTTGGTTCGGCTGTTCAGCAGATGCGGGCTGCTACTAAAAAAAAAGGGGGATGTGGTACGGACAGGGAGGGGGACAGTGGGACAGCGGACACCGACCGGGGGCAACTCGATTGTAATTCGCGCCACAAATGTTTCACTTCATTTGAGTTTCAGTTGGAGTTTCAGTTAGAGTTTCGTGGATCGCTGGCGGCACAGGAAGTGCTTTGACAAACAACAAAACGTTGGAAAAACGCTTTTCGGGGAGTGGAGCTCTCTGGGGCGTGGCAGCCGCCCACGCACAGCTAACTGGGGGACACCTGTTCTGTTCTCCACCAATGACACCCAGTTCCATATCAATTAACCATCACCAACAGAATGAAAATCCCCTTCTAAAAAAGACATATCAATTGGGTTCTACGAGCTGCGATTCGGGTTCCAGGGGTTCCGCTAATACCCGGCCCCAAGCTACGACACAAAATAAATTGCTTTAAATACTCTCTGTATGGGGAAATAAATTGTTTTCAATGCAACTGCCACAACAGACAGAATAAAACGAGCTGGGGAGGGCAGCGGATAGCGGAGAAATTTATGCAAGCAAACGTTTGTATTTCCCCTTTTTTATTCGGATTGGAAAAAGTCCGGCACGGAATCACTGACCAAGGAACTGAGATCACATAAATAATCGCATGCAAGGGCAGTGCGTTTCGAAAATGAATGACAAATCTAGACTTAATAAATGTATTTAATGGGAATGATGCTTAAATGGAAACTTGCTTTAGTTTTTTAGCCATAAATATATCAAAGGTAATATAGAATATTTCCTTAAAGCATCATAATTTTTATCACAAAACCGTGGCTATCTATAGATATAGTAGAAATATTGTTAATAATTTTTGTATATATTTACGAATATAAAACTAATTTCTATTTCAATTATAAAACCATCTGAAAACATTCAGGTTTTAAATTAAAATTTAAAGAAAACTCTATTAAATTCCTTAAAACCCCTTAAGAAATGAAAACGATTTAATATATACATTTATAAATCGTTTCTATATTTATGAAACGCACTGTTTATGCAGATGCAGGTCGCAATTGTCATGTGATTTGGAGTCTGTACATCATACTCGTATATATATTTGTGTGGGAATGCATAATTGAGGAACAAATTGCCCAGCGGTTCCCAGAAAATAGTCCGACCGACGACGTAGATGCGATAATCCGTTGAATTCTGCGGATCAGCATTTGGATTTATACGAAAGAATACAACTTTTTTTAACTGAAAAGAGTTATAAGAAATATAGCTACCTGTCCAGGGGCCTCTCTTAATCCAGCTTAACTCTCACTTCTAAGCGGGTTGTAAAATCAGCGAGATCGTTTGAGATTTGAGCCCCCGTCTCTCTGTTCAATGAATGGATGCTAATCCGCGATGAATGGCAGATCTCTGGGAGATGGGCGGGGAGTTTGACAGTCACCGCCACACAACGCATCAGAGACATCAAACGCTGCAATTAATGCCGAGCGAAGCGTTAAGCGCGCCACTTGTGGCACTTGCAACTCTCCGACTTTTCCCCATTTCCCATTTTCCACTTGCCATCCACGCAACCCGGCTAAGTGCAATTAACTTGGCAAAGTCAGCGACATCGCGACGTCGCCGGCCTGGGTCTCTATTTTTGCTCTGCCGAGCGTCTTAATCGAATTAGCAGGGTCTCCCTCGAGAGGAAGAGCCGTACACTTGTCCATTGATTGGAGTTAATGGGCCGTGACGACATCGCCCTCAAGGGTTTCCATTCTCCGCGGGTTCCCTATGTACTTTTATAGCTTTCGCCTTGAACTATTATCCGCTGCAACAATGTGGCAACTTAATGTTGCAAGTTGCACATGGAAAACCCCAGTTGGTCGTAAAAGTGTTGCCTTCTCAATAATTTTTACAATCCCCAAAAGATGTAGAAATGTGGTTCTAATTAATAAATTAATTTCAAGGCCACTAAATGCTTTTAAAAATGATTATTTTCTATAATGTTTACCCTATAAATATATACATTTTCCCCAGTGTATAGATGCAGCGTCAGTTCCGGTTTATTCACACAATTCCGCCAAGCGCCTTGGCATAGACACAGTGACAGACCGGAGAGCCGGCTTCGATAAAACGCCAGCCTCGGATGCGAAACGAGTTTTTTTATCTGGCATCTCGGCAGACTTGCATCTTTCACTGCCAGGGCCACTTGGCACTTGGATCGATTTGTGGATTAGCGGCGACAACTTCATTCCGTTCCCGATCTCGTTCCCGTTCCCGTACACTATCCCCATCCCCAGTGCCCTTCCTATTCCTAGTCGTGGCAGCCACAATGTGTATCCAGTATCCAGCAGATACTTTGTATGTGTGTTTAGTATCCAGCAGATACTTTGTGTGTATGTGCTTGGTATCGCTGTGTGGACATGTGACTGTTTATGGCTTCGCTTAGCCCCTTTTAGCGCCCTTCTTGGGGGGGGCGCCCAGCAGGAGGAGCAGAAGATAGAGATTGAGAAGGAGGCCTTGCTGGAGGAGGTGGCCCTTGGATTCTTTTTCCCATTCAGCGCTCTCGAGTGGTCTTCATTAGGGGGCTGTCTTGTCTAGATGTCTTCTACATGTCTAGATGGTAAAACGAGTCCAAGCCGGCCTTTAAAGTCAACTCGAGTGGCAGGCAGGCACGACTCGAGACAGCCTTTAAGGCCGTTTACAGGATCTTCTGGCATTTCTACCTGGAGCAAAAAGAAAAGAAAAGAAAATACAGGAAAAATACTAGGGGAGCGGGCGGAAGGAGAAGAGCAAGGGACGGCCAGCCAAACCGGTTGGCAGTTGGCCAAGTCTGTTGGCCACTAGCAATGTACGGTAATTCGCCTCAAATAAACTTCCAATTTGACGAAAAACTGGAGCAACTTCATTAAGATCTCCCTTGGCTGATGAAATCGCCCAATTTTGGCCAAATCTCTGGGAGATCGCATAACAAACATGACGCTAATGACGTGTGTCTAACTGCGACTGTAATGTAAAGCCAAACATGCTGAAAATTATAAAAAAAACCTTTTGTTTTAAAATGGGGAATAGTGGATACTCTTACAATAAAGTTTGAGTTAAAAGTGCTTTTCATATTCCATTGGATCTGACTTAAGGTCTTGCTAGAATATTTAAAAATTATTTTAAAGAACTTCTTCCCTTTGCCATAATGTTTAATTTTCTATTTATTAATTCAGTTTAGAATATAACCTTATAAATAAGCTCTAACTACTCTTACCTGGTCATGTGTGTATCTTAATGTGAGTCAACTAGAAATATGATGATGATGGCTGCGATAGGGTGCGAAGCTAACTTCTGGGACAACATTGTTGTGGCATGCCAAATTGGATGCGAATTTGGAAAGTTCCGCAATGATGGGCCACAGCTGTCTGCGAGTTGGGTCAACGTGCCACAGAACCAGCCGCAAAAAAACACACTCACAAAATGTGTGTGCAAGTACCTACGGCTACGGGTACAGGTATTTCGACGATGACGACCCCACGAGACAATGCTACTCATAATTTATTTACGTCAAAACCCAGGCGACGAATGGCCCAGTTATATTTGGGATGTCGGCAGGTGTTGGCCCCACTTCATGAATTTTTCATATCGTGACTGTCGCCTTCGCCTGTGAACTAGTTCAAGTCAATCACAGCCTGGGGGGGCACACCCGACGACTGGTCCTGCCGGTCACGATGCAATGTCCCATGTCCATCGACCAAGTCCATCGTCCATCTGTTCGTGCTGGTTGCGTGCCGGGCAACTTGACCGAAAAAATGAATTGTACTCGAGTATCCTATTTTTGCATTCGGGAAAAGGTCGGTGGCATGCAACTTGTTTGCATTTAGCTTTAGCTGCTGTGTCGCATGCCGAGAGAATGGGAGCGGGAAATGGGGATCGGTCCGAAATGCCAGGCATCCCAAAAATACTCATCCTCAAATGTGGGTCGCAACCAAGTGAATCACTGCACAGGGGAAAAGTTTTGTATAATTGAGTTTGATAAATCAACAGGAAGGCATTTTTAAGATCGATTGTCCGGTTAATTTGTAAAGAAATTTAAGAACTAGGAACATATTAGATTACATTTATAACCATTATAGTATCATTCATGCTGATCTTATTTAATTATAGATTATGCAGAACGCTATCCTAATTTATCTTCAGTGTACCATACTAACAATCACCTCTTCTTGATTTTATCCACAGAGCTCGGCCATGTCCGCCACTCTCTTCGAGATGGCATCGCAACCGGAGGAACAGCAGCAGCAGCAGGAGCAGATGATCTGCCTGGAGGAACAGCAGCTGGTGGTGGGCATGACCAGCTCGGAGCTGAGTGAGTCGGGAGTGGCGCCCAGCAACTGCGATGGCAGTGACAGTGGTCTTGACGTGGCCAGCAGTTGCTGCCTCTCGCGAGTTACCCTGCAACGTGGTCTCAGCAGCACCAGCGGTGGCTACACCAGCAGCAATGGCCTGGAGGATATCTATGATAGTTGTGAGCTGAAGGTAACCACCACCACCACCACGGTGATCCAAACCCCCAGTGAGGCGGGCAGCGAAAAGACATCGCCGCCGCGAAGAACAAATGGCTCCGTAAAAAAGAAGGTGGCCATGTTCGAGCCCGAGCAGGCGGCAAACACTCCGGCCAAGGATCAATTACGAGGACGAGTGGCTAATCTCAAGAGAGCGGAGAGCTTGCCACGGAATAGTGCGGCGCCGGGGTCACCTGCCACACCTGCTAACAACAACAAATCCCGTCTGTCCTCCGCGTCCTTCCGCGTGCCCAGTTCCACGGCCACGCCGACCTCCGCTCGCCTGGCACGCCCCCAGAAACCGGATACCCTGCCCAATGCCCTAAATCGAGCGCAGTCTGTCCAGCGGCTAGCCCAGGTGCAGAGGACACCCTCGTTGAGCCGGGCCCGTACACCGGGCACTCCCTCCGACGATGGTCGTTGGCCGGCAAATCGGGGTGCAGCACGTCGTGGAATGTCAGTGACCCCGGAAGTCACCGCGAACCGGATGCGAGGCAGTCCAGCGCCCGGCGGAACTCTGCCACGACGCAGGAAGCAGCAGTCCGTGGAGGATCTCACAGCTGGTCGCCTGTCTAGAAGCAACTCCATCAGTCGTGCGGCCGCTGTGGATGCCCGCATGACCTCGTCGGTGATGGTGGTACCTACAAGTCGCAGGAGCTTGGCTCCCGCCACCGCCAAAGTGAACTCCTTGCGGAGGCCCCAGCCGGTGGCGCCCAGGACGCGAATCTATCATGAGACTGCGGTACAAACGGCGTTGACCAGCGAAGATTTGGAGAAGGTCCTGGGCGGTGGTCTCCTGCAGACACGCGCCCTGGATGCAGTGGAGCAGCGAACTCAAAGCACTCAGGCGGAACCCGATCAGAGAGACTCCGAGATAGAGCAACTTCGTCAGGAGGTTCGCCAGCTGAGTGGCAAGCTCCAGCGGGAGCGGGAGGAGAAGCTGGCCATGCAGCAGGAGCTGCATCTGAACACGGAGCGGGTCATGGGCATGTTGGAGCTGGCCCGAGTGGTCAGTGCGAGTGCCGGAACACCCACATCGGATGACAGCGGCGATGGCAGTGGCCATGACAGTCTCCTGATGCTGGAGTCGCAGATCCAGATGAGCGGCCACGAGCTGTTCGAGCGCCAGCAGGAAATAGGCCAGCTGAGGGCCATGTGTCGTGCCCTCCAGATGGAGATGCGCCGATCCTTGGCTACCCAGCAAGTCCTCCTCCAGGAGAAGGCTGCCATCGAACAGGAGTCCAGCGAGCTGCAGGATTTCCTGCAGCATGAGAAGGCAGCACAGTGCGATGCTCTGCGGGAGCTGGAGGCGGAGTACCAGGCGGTCAAGTCGCAGCTGACCAATCGGGAGGAGGAGACCAAGGTCCTGCGGGACGAGTGCCGGCATCTGGTGAGGCTCAACGAGCAGCGCCGCCAAGAGAACCGTCTGTTGCAAACAAAGTACTCCGCCCTGGAAAACAAGTCCCGGGAGCTGATCCATCAGCAGAATGCCTCAGTGGCAGGAGCCTCCACAGCTCTCTCGGGACTGCACTCGCGTCTGGACGGACTGGTGGAGCAGCTGGTCTATTCCTACAGTATTTCCGAGCAGGACTTGGAGGTGAGTCCATGAACTATTTTTCAAGATTATTTTAAACTAATTTTTAATTCTCTTTCAGGACATTCGCTTCCAGGCGGAGTCGGAGCAGGTTCAGAACGGCCAAAGGCCTAATGGCCTGGACCTGCCCATTTGTCCCCCAGCTAATGGCGATGCCATCCACACCCTCGTCCTGGCCAGTGATGGTTCCCTGTCACCGCAGCGAAATCAGTCCTTTATTGCCGCCGTCATTGGTGCCATTCGCCAGGCCACTACTCACTCCGGCAAGCGACTCTCCCTCCGCCAGGCGGGTAAACGGAATGGAGTGGGAGGAGGCTCTGCCCAGGCCACGAGCACAGCGGGAGCCACGGGTCAGGAGCCACAAGGCAATGGGGGTAGGAAGTTTATATTCAGTCCTCAAGATTCTTTTATTAATATTACTTGTTTGTTATCTCCAGACGACTCTGACTCCACGGAAATGCTGGACTCGGAGACGGAACCCTGCCTTCTGATGATGGACAACGTGTTGGAGGATGTCGTACACCCCGACTCCCATTCCCACAACATGGTTTCCTCCTGCACGGGGATGATCTCCCAAATAGAGTTGCCCACGGAATTGATTAGCCAGTGCAGCCATCACAATAATATCAATGGATGTGGAGGCGATGATTCCCTGCAGCAGCTGTCCCAGGCCATCACCAATCGCCAGCAAATGGAGCTGCACATGCATAAGATGAGTGCCATGCCCATGAAGTGAGTCTCTATATCGGGGATACCCTTTAATGTCCATTAGTTTCTAACCCATATTTTGTAGTCCCCGCGATCAGTGCAACACGGAGGAGCTGAGCTGCCACGATTCGCTGGCGGAGCTGACGGAACTGCCCTCTCTGATGGAGTACAGCACTGCCCAGGCAGTCGTAGATCAGGTGATCGAAGTGGACACCTTGGTGACCAAATTGCTCAAGGTCCTGAGACTGGTACAGCTGGACAACGACAACTGCATACAGCAACTGATCGTTGACAAGTAAGTTGGGTTTAAAGACTTTAAAAGACCCAAACTAATCCATTAAATCATTATCCATTCCAGGAACAAGCTGCAGCAGCACAAGGAGGACATGCTGGAGAAACTAAAAGACTTGGAGGACGTCAATCTGAAGCTGCAGGACGAACTCATGGACGCCACCCAGGAGCTGATGATCAAGGGCAGCGATCTGAGCGGCGCCAAGGCCGAGATGCAGCGCCATCGCAACGAGATCGACGTAAGGTTCTAAGAGACTTGATCGCCGCTGAGCATTTTGTGGACTTTTCTGTTGCGCATCCTTCGAAGACATTTCTATATATCGTTATCGTTTACCGTCAGATATATTCTCATATGTTGTACACCCATCTCGATCGCGATCTTATTTGATTCATTTAGTATTTAGTTGTAGATCTTAATTTGAATAAATTACTTGGCTTATTTACCTCTTGAGTTGTCTTGCTTTGTAGTCGAAGTCGTTGATATTTAGCTATAATTTCTTTCACTTAATCAACCATCAATCATCACTCTACCATCTCTCAAACATCATCAAACGACATCTCGATGGTCCGACAGTCCCAAATCAAGTTCAAAAGCGCACTCTTTCGTTTAAAATGAGACTTCGAGTCGAGACAAACCAAACTAATTGCCAATGTAACCACCACGCTACTGCTTCTACTGCACCCCATATCCCGAACACTATCACTAATCCTGGCCAGCGCTTGAACGAGGACATCTGCACCCTGAGCACGCTGTGCAGCAGCTACAAGAAGCTGTCGCCCACCACGGAGTTTCCGCCCATGAGGCTGCTCTCGCCGAATCAGGACTCCGAGCAGGGCGACACTTTGGGCATACTCAATCTGCTCAAGATGTGGCAGGCGGGCGGCCAGTTGCAGGACCCAAGGGTCAGCGGATATCTTCAGAATGTCAATGGTAGTCAGGTTAGTAATTTAATTTAAAAATGTAAAAAAGAGCCCCATGAACTGTCTTTTAATTTAAGGTACAAAATTCGCCTCAGGATAACAACAATGTGGAACGCCTTAGGATCTATGCCAATCAACTGGAGCACGTTTCCCGCGTCCTGGACGATGGCCTGCCCATGGAGCTCCATGCTCCGCTCCAGCAGCTGCGACAGGACATCGAGGTGGTCCGCACCAACGCGAGTTGGACGCAGCTGCTCGAACATAACGAAACGGATCACAATGCCAATGGCGATGTGTCCACGCCTTGAACTGTGTCAAAAAGGAAAGGGAAACTGTTGTTAATTGTCCAGTTAACTACTTATTAGGACTTGAGCGTTGTTTAATTTTACGTAGTTAGTTACAAATGTTTGCGTCCAATTCGATTCGGTAACGAGTGTGCCATCGATTGCAGCTCTAGATGTTTTAACCACGTCCAAAGGAAGGCATATTTTAACGAGATCATTGCCGCATTCCACACACAAACTAGACGACTTCCTTTGACCTCCGCACAGGTGATCTAGGTAGATCTAGATCTAATGCGAGTTTAGGTTAGATTCGCTTTTAAATTATATAGCATACCCAGCAGCATTTTTATTTTCTCTGCTGCATACTTTTCGTCTTGAGTTTATTTTTTGCAGCCCTGTTCGAAATTAGTGGGTTAAAAAAAGTATTATGAGAAATCTTATTATTAAATTTATCCTAGACTTTAAATTAAAATTTGTTGAGATAGCACCCTCTAAAGGAGTCCATCATGCCACAACACAAAGCAGATTCAGTAGAATTTTAGCTTTGTTCAAAGATAACATTGCTTATGAGTAAACGGCAGATATTCCTCGGGATATCTAGCTTGCCTCAGACAGAATTCCTTGCCGCATTGCCAAAATTATGATAATTGCAGCCACAATTTGCTATTCAGCCATCAGGAATGTGAGAGAAGGGGTTACGCCTCAGGATAATAGACCCTGTGTACTGAAAATAATGAATGCATTCGAGTCTCGAAAGCAAGCTGTTTGTTTAATACACGTACAATAAATAAGCATAAACTAAATACATGTGTATGTATATAAAAATCAACTATAAATGAAAAAACAATTTCGCAAAATTTTTGAAATCCCTTGAAATGGTGAGTAAACCTAGGTAAGTCTATGGGCGTAGGCATAGGCTGTATATGTTTATATCTATATATGTATATAGAATGACATATTGTATATATATATATGGTGTGTGTATATATAGACAGCAAAGTCCTGTCGACGCCGCTCCTTTGTCTGTTTTTGTTTGTCTTTTGTGTGTTGCCGTTGCTCTGTCTTTACATTTACAAATAATCTCACAATTGGGGGGTGGTGGTGGATCCTGCAGAATCCCAATCCTAGAAGGAAGGCTTGCTGCTGCCCATGCTGCGGGCCGGCAAGCTATTCGTCTTGGCCGTGGGATTGTCGCGGGCCTGCGAGTGGGCCACCACAATGCTGAGGCACTGCACCCACTCCTCGGCGTTCTTGCCATCCTTAGGCTTGAGTATTAGGGTCTGGTCGGCGGTGAAGATCTCAAAGGCCTTGGGTATGTTGCGGGCTCCGCGCGACACCTTCACCGATCGTATCTGGTTCACATCGATGCTCTCGCCGCCGCTCTAAAGATACTATGTGTTAGCCTTGATTGAGATTAACTATCTTTGAAATACTCACAGATCCCTTGCAGGACAGATGGGCGCCGGACAGCGTAAAGTAGCGCGTGCGCCAGCGCCGGAAAAGTCGCCACTTGCCCTTCTTCTCCTTCAGCTGGCCCTCGATCATGGGCTGGTTGCTGCCATTGAGGAAGCCCACTGCCTTGTCTGGGTGGTTGCACAGGAAGCAGCCCCACTGGAACTCCAGCTCATTGCAGTTCGGATTGGACTTGTCGGTCTTGGAGACCTCGAAGACGTCCAGGAAGCCCGAGTGACGCAGCTCGTTCACCAGGATTTCGCGGTCCTTAAGAAGAAAGGAAGAGAATATTAAGATAATATTTAAGGCTTATCAATCTTGTTGCTTTAACCCACCTTGACCTGTGGAAACTGGCTGGTAACCAACTCGGTGAAGCTTCGATTTTCGCACTTGAGTATCTGCCAGATATTCTTGAGATTGCTAATGCCGGATTCACGCGTGCTCAGCACGCACTTCTCCTTGACCTGGAAAGCAGAGATTAATAGGATTATTATCTCTTCGCCAAGCAAATAAAGTAATGTCAGCACTCACGAAATGTCGCACTTGAAAGTCCAGGAACATCATATGTATCCAGGTCTTGGGATTGCGCGTTCGCATCGTAAAGCAAGTCTTGGAGTACAGGCAATGGGGTCCTCGGATCTGGCAGGCAAAGTGCAGTTTGGCCACCTTTTTGGTCCGACGCTCTGCAAATTCATTGGAAACTGTGTGATGTGTGTGTGTGTGTGTGTGGGGTGTGTATTTATGTGCGGGATGCATTGACAGGCGAAGGAGTTAGAGATTGAGGGAAAAGCAGCCGCCAAGGACTTACCCTCGATGCTGCAGCGCGTCGGTGGTGGCAAATGCTGCGACACCTCATCCATGTACGACTTGATCGAGTTGAAGTTCTTCTCGCAGAACTGCTGGACGGGATCTCGCATTATCTGGTAGGGCTCGAAGGTGCTCATCCGCTGGTCCATTACACTGTTGGCGTTCAGCAAGGTGCGGCTGGTGTTGTCGCTGCGACGTGGTGCCACATTGGTCGTGGGTCCCGACACAATGACTTCGCTCTGAAGGTATAATTTGTAATTAAATTTTAGGTACTTTTATATTTTCCTCCGACTTACATTTCCATTCACGGGCAGCTTCATCACCGACTTGGCATTGCCATTGCTAGATGCCTGGGGCAGCGCCGGAGAGGCATGGTGCACGGACACTGCGTTCTGGGTCTGAACCGGCGCAATTGTGGCTGCAGCTGCGGCTTGCGGTATGGAGATCGAACCCACCGACTGGTTCAGTGCATCCGTGCTGTACTTCATCAGCACCGTGCTCGAGTTGAGCAGCGTCGACGGGCCCTGGGAGTGCGGCCTCACCTTTGAGGGCGACGTGGTCACAGTCACGCCGCCAGAGGTCACGGGAATCCCGTGCTTATTGTGTCCGGTGATAACCACGTTATTACTTAGTGGTGGCACCGGCGTTACGGGCGGATTGGTGAAGGCGTTTGGGGTTTTGGGCATGGCACCGGGTTGCACTACCACATTCCCATTGGAGCTGCCGCCTGGCTGCTGGTTGATCTGCGAGTTGCTCAGTCGGGTCATGCTCTTGTGAAGTCCTCCCACAGATCCGCTGGCCACGTTCAGCCGGGTCACACTCCGGTGCGTGTTGCTGGCGGGATGAAGGCGACCCGTGCTCCTGGAATCACCCAACTTCACCCGCCGCGTATATCCCGCGTGCTGTGGTGTGGGCGTGGCCGTAGATACAGGCGTGGAGGTGGCAATGGGCGCTGAGGCCGAGGCGGGTGGGGCTATAGGCGTGGCACTAGCTGCGCTGGCCTGCTGGATGATGGTGGTGTTACTGGACGGGGCGGCAAGGGGAGCTACAAATTGAAATATTTATTAAATCTAGATTTTTAAATCGGGTTAATAATTCCCAGACGCTCACCTGGCTTCAGCTGTGGACTGGGACTGGAGCTGTTCAGACTGACAATGGTGACTCCGCCGGAGATCTTGTTTCCTAGAGCATTTCCCACATCCTGCTGGGAGCTTAGAGCGGCGTTTTTCTGCCTTACGCAGGCCAGCACCTTATCCGTGAACAGGACCGGATAGGCGGAACAGAGTCTGGTGGCCTCCTGCTGCAGCAGAGCCTGGGTGGGCAGGTGCTCCAGCACAAAGTCCAGCGCCTGCTGGGCCGTCTCCTTGCTCCCAATACCCGCTGTGGTCATGATCTGAGCGCAAAGCGGGATTGTTCCCGGATTTGTTTTGGCCGCTAGGCGCAGTTGCTCAAAGTGGTCAACGAGGAGGTTGGGTGAGTGTTGCGCCAGCTTCAGAAGGATCTGCATGGTAATGCTGGAGGTGTCGCTGTCGAGCAGGAAGCCGCACAGCTGTGGCACACATGACTCCAGCACCTCGGGCGACTGCTGCACGATCAAGAGATACAACTGGAACACCGCCATCCGCTCTTGAGGATCACATTGCGGAAGCAGTGGCATCAGCAGAGGAGCATGCGGTGTAACTGCCTCCGGGGACACCTCGTACACCTGCGAGAGGACCCGAAGCAGGCCATAATTCCCCGACAGTATAGAGTCCATCACAGACTCCGTGTGCGGACTCAGTAGACAAGCATGATCGATGGCCGCCAGCGATAGGTAGCTGGCCAGGTTGCGGGATAGCTCCCGGTTACCCTTTGGCAGGAACTGGACGGCAACGGGCAAGGCAATTTTCATCAGTTCCTTCTTGTCGTAATTCTAGAAATTGAATTATTAAATTATTTTACTTCAAAGATCTATTTAAATTTACCAGAAAAATGCTGGAGATAATATCGGCGGCTATCTTGGCATGTGGCGGCTCTTCTTTCGTGGTGCCCGATGGCTGCAGGTTCCACAGCAGGCAGGTCTTCAAAAGATCCACCAGAGCGGCACAATAACGCTCCGCAGTGCGAGTCTCCCGAATGCAGGAGAGCACCCGCGTTACACAGATCTCCACCACGCTCTGGTCATTGTTATTCTTCACGTAATCCGCATGCGAGATGATGGGACTGATCTCAGAGAGCTGCAATTTACAGAGTGAGTTGCGATTTTTGGGAATAGCTTAGGACTTGAGTAACCTACCACCTCCGTGATGTCGTCTACAATATCCGCATCCGGCACTGAGAAGAGATCTCCGGCTCGGGAGAGATCGCGCTTGGCGAGCACTTTATTGAAGAGGTCGTGCATCTTTGGAGAAGTCTCCCAATTATGGTTGGTCAAATTGCATCATCTATGGCAACTGCAAGATAATTATTATAGGTTTTGTTTAGAAAATTAGAAGAATTTTAAATTATTTGAAATGATTGATAAATGAAACACACTGGCAAACTAAATAAGATAATGCTTATTACATTTTTTATCAATTCTTACCTAAAAACATTTTGAAAATGGAATTGTTTTTATAAATTCCCCAAATAAGAAAATACTTTCTGCGTTTTTCCACATTTCAAGTGCATCAAAAATCCTTCCACATCAGACAAGATCAAATAATCCTTGCCTAGATCAAATAAGAATTAGTTGGGTGTTGTTGCCTATTTTAGTCACTGCATTTTTTCAGTGTCATGTTGTGGAGTTGGCCCATTGCCAAAGTTCAGGCGCCTCTGGCAGCCACTTTTTATCTTATCGCCCGGCACTTGCTGAGGCAAACTATGTAGTCCGTTGGCGAATATAGAGGTTCGTCCGGAGCCCCGAAATACTTGTTGCTCCAGAGCATTTCTATTCTCGTTTGCCGCAAAAGTGCATATATAGTTTTGTATACAAATAGATATTCAGCGGACACCGAATACTTGTTGCATTGCCTCGACTCTTATCTCGGATACGCGCACCCAGATGCCCTTGCACAGTGCGCCAAGGCACTCGAACTAGTGCGAGCACTAATTGCTGAATAGATATTGGAGTACCTACTATAAATCCAGGTGAATTATGATTCGTAATAATTATTTTCTCCTATCTATATGGCTGGAGAATATCTTTATGGGACCCGCGAATAATTGGGAATTTGTGCAGGTTTTGGCACACATCGATTGCGCCCGTATTGAGTTTGTTTATTCAAGTGAACCAAAATTCGTATACGAAGTCTAGTGCAGCAGCACCTCATAGCCATTCCGCGAAACGTTTCCCTTCTGTTTTCCGTGGGGTTTCCCGCAAGCGATGATGTTTGTTGTCAGCCACCCTTGTTTGCCCTGATAGCCGTCTAATTTGTTGGCCAA